GGGTGAGATCTGCAAACCTCTGCTGTCTTGGCTCCCCAGCCAGGTTCCTGGGAAGCCAAGGCATACACAACCATTTTGTTCCCGAAGAGCCAATTCACAAATCCTGTTGTTCAGACTCACAGTATAAGTGTAACGTCACAGTTACAATGCAAGATGCCAAGTGCCAGCAGCAAGCACATGGCTCTGCATGCAAAGGCTCGTGGATGCGAGCACAATCCTCCTAGACACTAGTCCCTGTGTTTATAAACCTGCTCAGCTTCCCCTTAAGGGAATTTGCCTTTAACCTCAGTGGTAAGCACTTGTGCTCTGGCTGCTGAAGGCCCTGCTGATTGCTATAGTGTCTCTGTAAGTGTAACTCATTACAAATGCATCATTCATCACCAGGTTCCCTGCCCTACCACTCACAGCTGTTTTAAGTTTGCTGTGTGCTGGCTGGGCTGCAGCTGTGCTATATCAGCATGTGGTTTTAAAACAAACCAAAGAAAACTAAAGTAACACTTTTGTACCATTTTTGTCAAAGGAGCGTGTAATAATCAGCCTATCCTTTCTGTGACAGGAGAATTTTGGTTTTAATAATGTAAACCCTGCTGCAACAGAGGTTGGTGGAAGGACCCAAAGCACTATAGCATGGCTGAGCAGGCCAGCCCACAAATGCTCAGCTGTAAGCACCTGAACAGTGACTACTCAAGTCCAGAAATGTAGAGAAGTCTTACATGAGCTACTGAAAAGAACAGGAAATAGTGTTGTGTTTTATTCATGTCCACAGAGCAGCACATAGCTCTACAAATGAAGAGACAGTGATTTCCTCTCATCGGCCTTAAAAAAAGTACTAAATTGTAACCAAGGCAGCAGATTTCTTACCATCCCAAATTTATTGCTTTTCTATAGCAACCAGCTCCCTTCTGCCTGGCTGTTGTTGCCAGATGTTCATTTCAGTGTAATTTAGCCATGCATGCAAGACACTGGCTTGCACTGCCCTTGCTCTGTTTTCCCCGTTAACAATTCTCTTTGCTTCCTGGTCACTATTTCATCAGCAATAACTCATGCAACAGACAGGTGAGGTTGTACAAAGAGGTTTTTATTGAGCATGCTGATGGGCTGTGCTGCCTGATGAAGCTTTGCAGGGAGTACAAGCCTTCTCAAAAGCTTTTCTCCACTGCCCCTTGGGCAGCAGTCACTCATCTCCTCCATCTTATACAGTAAACCCTGCTTCCTCAACCGCTCATTGGTTAGCAACCTGGAAGGACTCTCTGCTTGTAAAGGTAGGGCAACTCTTCATCAGGAGAACCATCAGGACAACCATCAGGACTTTGTTAACACACATAACAGACTCAGCTTATTTCCGTCATCTTACAATAGCTTTTCTCTTTCCCCTTCCCTCTCCCCAACTCCTTTTCACAGCTGCTTCTTGTTCCCTGCAGACTGTTTATAATGCTTTAAAGGAATCTCACCTCTTAAGGAGATGGCTACTATAATCCACCCATTGGAGACACTTCTGCATGTTTAAACTGAGCTCCAATACTATCTCAAGGAACCCAGAAGCCTCTGTTCTTCATGTTCTTATGCTAGAACATGCTAACCTGTAAAGCTGAGCAGAGCTGAAAACTTGGCACAACAGTTATGAGACAGAATCTTCATTTATCAAGAAAATATTAGTTAAAAAACAAACAAACCCAAACAAAATAATCCCAAGCAAAGAAAAAAGAAAAAAAAAGGAAAAAAAAAACCCACAAAAACAAAACAAACAAACAAAAAACAAAATAAAAACAAAACAAAACAAAAAAAAAAACAAAAAAAAAAACTCAACAAACAAACAAAACCTGACTGGAAGAACAGCATTGCCCTGTACCTTCAGGAGCAGGAGTACTAAAAAGGCCAGTTTGCCTTGTGGCTGACCGCACTCATCAAGGCACTTTAAGGGTCCAAGCACTGCAAGGCAGAGCACACTGACCATCTGCAGTGGATGCGCACCAACTAACATTTGGGATTTTACCATGTGGATTATCTGGTATTAAAACGGTTGAGCTGACATTTCAGCTTTCATCTTCCTTACCAGCCCAAATTAGGGTTGCTATTTTCCACAAAAAACTGCAAGAATTTAATACACTTAGACTTGAATCTTATTTGAGTTTGTCTGAAGCTGTTCATGAAGATCAAAAGCATTGCAGGGGAGAAAAAAGGAGAGGAATGAGGACCAAACTACACAGCAGAGAAACTTATTTGCTTTGTTTTCCCAGTATATTAGGCTAAAACCAGGATTCTGTCCTAAGTAAGTCAAGGAACAAACTTCAGATATACCCAGGGCTACGCCCTAAGCCCATAGTGTGGTCTGTATCATACCAACATCTTGTCAACAAGTGTCATTCTAAACCTGAGATTTTCATGCACCATTCAGCTCATCCACATCTTTGTTACATTTGCTTTCTAGCATTAGCCAGATTTACTTTCCTTAATGACCAGCGTTTACAGCCTCATCTCTGTATGTATTTACCCAGCTGCTATGTATTTGCTAGGTGAGCATGTGTGTCACTTCATGTTTCAGAAGGGCTTTTAACCCTTGCCTCTGGGCAGCCAGGATTTCCTGCTCTGCAGCAGCAGGAACTAAGTGAGACAGGAAACACTGCTGGCTGCTGCCAGGGGCTGGGAGGGAGAAAGGTCAACGGCTGTGTTTGTACCTTCTCATTACTCCCACATCCTCAGGCTTGCATCTAGTCAAGATTGCATTTATCAATGCCACTATCAATATCCAATTTATGCATAACTGAACTTAGCAGATAGCCCTTTATGCTTTGAGTATTTGCTGAACTTCATTTAATATGTAACATCAATGCCATTCATTGTCTTCAAATGGCTTTGAATATTACGTTGCTGAAGCTAGCAATAGCAACACCAGTAATCCACAGTTTCAGTGTCATGGGCATAGAGCCAACCTCTTCCAGCAGCCTGAAATTGGAGCAGCTTTATCAAAACCCCGTCTTGAGACCATCCCCTTTAGAATTTGCTTCAGGAGGTCAGCTGCACCAGGACAAGTCAGATGATACTGAACTGCAAAGTTGTGATGATCACTTGACATTCTTCATCATTAGAAAATAGTTTAATTTTAAAATGTGATTTTTTAAACAAAACCATTTTTCACTTATTTCCTAATTTAATCTGAAGCTCTAAAAGCATCAGTTTAAATTTTGCATTACAGTCACACCATCAGGTTTTGTCCATCATCTTTTTGCATACACACAACTTCATTGCAGAGATCAGTATGCTTTATCCTTTAAGAAGGTTGCTATGATACTTTATAGTACTACAATAAATGCATTAATTTAAAAGCTGCTATGTCCCCATATGTGTGTGGGGAGACATGCTACTACATACTACCATGAAGGTAGAAATAGGCTGAATACTACCCAAATAGGAATGTCATACTGGAATTGCTGAACAGTCAATTGAAACAAATTTAGCTTTATTCTGAATTAAAATGAAACATTCATAAAGTTCCCATAAAAAGTTCAATGCTTCGTTTTTCCAAAGTGCAAAACCAAATTCATAAATGAGACATTTCACAGCATTTCAGTAGAGGTACATGTTATTGCAGCTTGTATTGATGACTATTGCAAGTAACAATACAATTTTAAATATTATAACCCACATTTCTGAAACTGAATTTTTAATTTCAAAAGGACAGCACTAGTCTTTTTCAAAGACATTATGGCAAACATTTTTGAAAAGTATCTTTGATCACCTCTGCTCTTGAGCACCGCAACAGACCTTGAGGCTGAACCCAAACAAAGCAACTACCTGCCAATTCTGGTCTCCATAAAGTGGCTAGGGAAAGACATCAATTTATGTTAAAGGTAATGTGGAATTCAGAATCTGTGTTGGGACTACAAAACCATGAACAGTGAGCCGTAGTATTTACACAGCTGTGAGTTCAGGTCTAAGTTTTTATAAAACTTACTTCTTTTAAACAAAGAGAACATTGATGGAATCTGGCTGTCATCCTGAGACAAGTATATCATCATCTAAGGTCTCCTTCAAATTGAGACTATCTAGATCCAAGTAAAAAACCGTGCATTTTTATGCTGTTAGTAAAAGGGAAACACAAATAAAATGCTTGATGTCAGGTAGTTTTTGCTTTCCTGTGAAAAAGCACACAAAAGAAATTTGGATCATATTGAGAAATTGTTATACAAACTGAACCATGTCATTAGTTCGCCTGTCACCTGCATGCTGTGACTTTTGTGGGTTTTTAACAATGTGCACTGAAGAAACTGCGTTAACTAAGACAATTTAATAGCTCTTCAAGCAAGACATGATTTCAGCCATTTTAGCTCAAAGAGCATAAAGGCTTTATAGCAATGAAGCAGATAACTGAGAAACAACTCTTCTGCTCACACATGATGCATTCGTGCACATTGAACTTCTAAGTAAATTCCAGGACGTGTAACAAGGAGGTCTTAAATGAGATCAACAGCAGGAGACTGCACACCTCTTTGCAACAGCATAATACAATGGGTCTTTGAAATATGGGAAAGCTAAATCAGACAAGGTATGTCCCTGTATTATATTAGGAGAACTTTCCTAGAGAAGTTGAATGCGGTCCCTTTGCTGCCCAAACAGTGAATACTGAGGAAGTAAAATTTTTCAGCTGAGTAGACTGGTGTTTGTTTGGTCATCTGCCTTTCCTTCACTGAAATTCTCTCATTTTGCTTTACATGGGACACAAAAGCAAAGCTTCTATTGCCATACATTTACAAATTCAATCTCATTTCTCTCTGCAAGTGTCAAAACCTTCCTAATAGTCTTCCTTAGGTAAGAGCTCATCATCACGGTAAAGTGAACCAAATACGACAAGTTAGTAGAATATATTTGTTTAGTTTCAGCACAGAACCACGTAATTGTTTAGGCCCATTTTTTTATTAATAATATAAGGTTCTATATTTTCTTAACATTACAATTGATGTTTTACAGTTAATCTCACACTAAAATGACAAAGTTTGGCTTTATTTGCAGAAAGTTAAGTTACCTTGGTAAACAAACATTTCCAGGATTGAGAAGCAAATTGTGTTTTCTGGATTTCAGTGCTAATGTATCGCTGCCTTTGAAATTTGTTTCACTTAATTAACATTGCTATGGAAGAACTATTTGGCCTGGCCTTTGTTCACAGCTGTAAGGCAAAGATGACATCTCTAACTCAGAAATATACTGTAAGTTATGCAAGAAGAGTCATGTTTTTCTTTGACTGTAAGATTTAGACCCTGGACCAATTTCTAACAGATTTTCTTCTTCCCCCTCAAAATTATAAAGGTCTCTCCAACTTAAATACATTGCCCAGTCAAAGCATACTCACTCTGCACCTTTCCCTCTTCAAAGAAAGCAGAATTGGAATTCATGAGTAAATGAGTAATTGGAAGTCATGAGAAGACTAATTAAAACTGCTTGCAACTCACATACAGCCAAAACAGTCGAATGAATGAAAAAGTGATGTGTTATGCCAAGATACGCTTCTGATCTGCATGGATCAAACTCCACCTCTGAACAGGCTGCAGCTAAGGGAAGTGAAATCTTTAGAAAGAGATAGAGAATACACAAGGAAGAGTAGTGGAAGACTAGTAATGATGCGTTTCCAGGTCTCCTAAACTTGACGCTTTCCTCTACTTTGATTATAAATTTAAATGTGAAGTTAAAGACAAGTCAACAATACATGCATTTCAACAAGCTCTGACCGGTGTGTAAGATAGAAAAATATTCAGCAAGACAACAGTAGAGTGGCCATTAGAAAAAAAAAAAAAAGAAAATAGCCATTACAGTTGTAGTTAATCTTTTCCTCAGAGCTATCCAGTGACATTGCTTTGGGACCCTTACAGCCTGATATTTCACCTTCCCATAGGACAACTGACATGCAGTAAAAATCTTTACTGCATTTTAAATCACTCCAGAAGCCAGTAGCTACTTAAAGATTAGAAATAGAGAGTATAAGCGGTTTTGCCCATGTATCTTTACATACAGAAAAGGAGTAAGGAAACCATAGTTAGAAAATTGAGTTGTGTTGTACTTATGTCAAAATCATAAGAGACTGGTATTACTGAGCTGCGACTACTTGGTTTAGTTCTGTTTGTGCTGTCATTCTGCAAAAAGGCTTCACACACTTTCTGTCAAAATTGATTCTTCATCATAGACATATACTTTCACTGAGGCACATAAATACCTTTTATATTTACCAACTGCTAGAAAGGTCTCTTGTGTCAGAGCAATACAAGTCATCAGCAAGACACCAGCTGTGGCCATGTAGTCACCATAATGCAGCATGCAAAATAAAGAAGTCCCTTGCATAAACTTTGCTGAGACACCGTTGTGTACGTAAGGAACACTTAACCACAGTGCAAAGACTCAGCTTCCTAAACCAGACTACTCCTGTATTGTTCTCGTTGCTGCCAAAATATGAACTCTGGGGGCCAGAAGCAAAAATAGAAAATAATAGATTTTTATGTTGAAATGTTGTGAAGCAAAACCCATTGGAAATAAATCCAGCTGCACTGCAAATATAACATTAATATTCTGTTTCGTGACTTCTGGATCATAAACTTTTCCCTTATGTACCTTGAGAGCATCCATTTTAAAGTGGTTTTGAGTGTTCACATTTTTTGATAATTTAAATTGTAGCATTGAAATTGGTTTTAAACAAGTGCAAAGTTGTCTGATATGCAGTATTTTTCAAGCATTTTATACTCTTTTTAGTATATTACCAAAACTAATTAGACAGTATTCTAAAAGAGTTTAAAAACAAAATGCAATTTCATTTCTTCTCCTCATTAAGGGCACTACCAATACAAAAGGTGTCCAAACTGACACTATACCTGTGAAGCAGTTGCCTACAGAGAGGGTAGTCTGTATTTTTTCCATCCTCTGCAGTCATATACATTAATTATCAAAAAGTTGGATAATTTAAGAAAAGAACCCACCTTAAAAATGGATCATGAGTATTGATAAATACTTTTAGTTTTACTGATTAACATTCAAGTTTCAGTGTAAAAATGCGTACTCTTACACAATACTGCTCAAAAAATTTTCGTTTTCTTAAAGTTTAATGGACAATTAAAATTGTGGCTACTTGTGAAGTGAACGATTCATAAAGGCCATACGAAAGTGTACAAAACTAAAAAGGGAAATCTCACTTCCAGGGTGACAGTATATTGTCCACTTAAATGTTTTATTAAACTCTTAAGACTGTTTCAAAAGACAGTGCTGGGCAGTTTCATTTGAATAGCCAAAACATTATTTTTAACTGAAAAAGATTATTTTGCATTTCTGCAAAATAAACAGGAGCAAACCCCATACACACTAGGACTGAAGTACAGATGAACACAAAGTTTTGTTACAGACCTGTTTTCAACATACAGTGAGAAACGTCCATTGTACAAAACTTAGTGACTGACCTACAATTAATTTAAGATTATCCCAGCAATGCAAATACAACTCAGAACAGCTCAATTGTGTAAGATTTCCCAATAGGACTACAGTGAGAGACTGAGTTTTTAGACATATTTTGACTTACATAGTCTTTTTTTTATCAAAGCCTACATTTGTACTTAAAGTGTTGGGTGGTTACAAGCCTGTCACACATTTAATCCTCCAGTACAGTGAAGTACTCCTTGGTGTTTTCTCATCTGTCTCTTTAGCAGCTTTCCTTTAGCAAGAGGCTGGGCTGAGCAGCTGCTTTTGTAGAAAATACTGTTGTTAGTCTTTGTTCTCCTTGCAGGGGAGGCTTTAGTAAGAAACATCTGGCAGTATCCAGCATTGAAACTACTGTCAACTGTGTTGCCTAACCAAACTTGGAAAACCAAGTTTGCATTTCCTGCTTGGTAATAACTCTTAAACAACCCACTGGGCACAAAGTGTAAGAGCACGGTAAGTAAAAATCCGTAAACATTAACAGTGATGATTACACTTTATTGGGGGGAGGGGAATAAGGTAGCAAAAAAAAAAATAAAATATCAAAGTCACTAGTTTTTAAAGTTTAGTCTATGTTATATTTGATTACTGGGATATCAGTACAATGAAAGTGGAGGATTTTCAACAGTAATTTCGAAGAAGTTTTAGTACATCATGTTGTGCAGGGCTTTATAAAAGATTTTTGTTTCCAAAGATGTTATTGGGGTCCACATATTCTTTAACAGATCTCAGCATTCCCAGGCCAACATCAGAGATGCTCTCCTTCATCCAGCGCTTCCGCAATTTGCCTACTGGAAAAACAAAAACAAAGTGTTTCAATATATGACAGGATTGTAGGAGCCAAATCAATCTTGTGACCATGAATGAATAAACACTGTGTGATAAATGCTTTTATTCAAAAATGAGAAATGTTTTGCTTTATTTGATTTATTGAGCCCACCAGACTATCAAGCTCATTAAGCTCAGCATACTCCCAGAGGAAGACTGTGTTCCACACTGTCTACTTTCTTTAGAAACTATGAAATTCAGAGGAAGTTTAGGCTGAAATCTTTATTAAAATAGGGAATCGATAATACGTTTTAAAAAGCCACCAAACTAATTTTAAGTAGGAAACTGTACAGGGGATTACTAAAAAGAAGAACCCCTTGATTACTTTAAAGTGAAAACATAACTCAATAATCTAACTTAAACCAGTATTGGTTTCAATAGTAAAAAAAAAGTTAAGCTTTCTGCTTAGCAAACACTTACTTAAAAAAAAAAAAACAAAATATCTTATTGTATTCAAAAACTTTTACACAGGCTGGAAATTGCTCAAATCATTAATTACATAAGAGATTATTTTTCCATCTAAAAACAGATAGTCACAACATATACCAAATACAAAGGAAGGCTGAAACACCAGCGATTTAAAAACTCATTTCACTAAGTCTCACAATAGTCCTGTTAAATGGCCAAGTGTTCACTTACTAATTAACCAAGTTAATCAACTCTGATTTAACAGATCATTCAAAATAAAGGACATTTTTTTCATTAAGCACACTCTAGCATTTAACTTGTCAGCCTGAAATCCATTTGTCAGTATGAAGCAATATAGTAAAGGTTTGAGAGACAGATGCTTTAAGAGTATCTGAAGCTAAATTCAAGCCATCTTTTGTGCCCTGTTCTCAGTGTAACCATCAAACTGTCATCAGAATAATAAATTACAGGGACACCTCTGGAGAACAGGGTATATTTGTTTATACCTTAAGGAATATGAGCTAGTCACATGCCAACTGAAAAGAAAACAATGTGAGAAAGAATGAAATTTGCAGTTTGCTAGAAAACTACTATTAGCAGCATGTGTGTCAAGAGTGAAGATCATAACTGAAGGACAAAATAATCTGTCATGTGGTAGGAACTCTGGTTGTATTTTGCATCCCAGCTCAAGAAAAAACAAAACAAAAACCAAAAACCCATCTGTAAATACACCATCACTACAACGTGACTGTCTGAGCACGCTGATGTAGTGAAATTTTATCTGGGGAAATTTAATACGACAGCTACAAAAAAAGAATCACGGACGTGGCTTGACCATTACCTCAGGTCACTCACACTGGCTCTTACACAAGCAGCTGAAGAACAGTCATTACCATTCTCAACTGTTATCTGTAATATAGTTTCAGTGAATGTGTCCTGTGGTTATGGATGTAATTGTCCTGAAAAGACTGCAAACAACTGCTCCAACAAGATGGAGCACATTAGAATCACAGCAGGATGCCCAACAGCTAGCATGCCTGCCTCTTTTACACCTCCAGTAATAATGCAATTCCACAAGGAACTGAGCTACTGTCTGAGCAGCACCAGTCGTTGCATATTTAATGAAGTCGCTCACCAAGTGCTGGAAAACAGAAGGTGTTTGGAGTGCATCATTAGTTCTGTCAAAGTGATAATTTACACATCTATCTTGTCAAATTTTCTATGGTTTATACTTTTGCAATAATAAATCTAACATACATTTGATTAGTGAACTGGAAAGAAAAAAAGCTGTACTACAGTTACCAGCAGTCCTTCACAAACATTTTCACTGAAAAGATTTTAACCCCTTGATAGCAGTGGGTTGAGCCTCTGCTTCTACTGTTCACGTCAATAAGATATACATGGATTTCTCAGCTACTCAAGTTTTCATATTAATTAGAGTTAAAAAGCACTGAAGCAATCTCACTCTTTGAATTCTACACTGGTCCATCTGATTAAATGGAAAAATAGACCAAGTGAAGGAAAGGCTTTGTGCACCTGAGAGCACCACTTAGAAAAGCAATGTTTATATTTATTTCACTTTGGGTTACTGCTGCCCTGTAAGTATTCTCCTCCTTCTCCATAGGATGATCCGATTAGCTTCAAGGATGAGAAGGGAAAAGGAAGAAGAAAATGCCCTAATAGTAAATGATGTTACCATGAACATAGGAATAACTCTAAGTGGTAAAGCAGCTGAACTCCACTCTAACCCTAGCCAAAGAACAGCTCATGAGGAAGCATGAGCTTCCCCAGTAATAAAAGATCTGTTAAGCCTGATCTTACCACAGACTAGAGAAAACCGCCTTTCTATTTCTAGCCTACAGAAAGTAGACATTTTAGTTTTAGGCCTAGATGATGCCATTTATCTAGAACTGACATACAACAATGCACAGAACCAGGTTTTATCCAAGCATCTACCACTTACAGACTATCAGCCTTGTATACTTTTCCCAATTAAAGAGTGAGACCAAATTCACCTGATTCTATCTGATACATCATAATATTATTAAGGTTCTCAAATCAGCATAATGTTGTACAATCAATTTGTAGTAGTTTAACAAGTAACTACTTGTCAAGTCAGCACATACCTGCTGGCCACAAAGATGGTAAAACTGGAGTATAGCTCTCCTGGGTCATAAAAGTTACACTTGTTCATCCTTGAAAATGCTTTTGGATAGCTGCAAAATGCCCTGCTGCCAAGGATGGACCTAGCAAACAGCAGGCCGCAATTGCTTTTGTCACTCTGGAATGTAAAGTATTTGGACACATATGAACAGTCCCTGTAAGGAAAGTTTTAATGTAACTAATGGAACCCAGGATAGATTCTACACCCATGCAGAACAGATGTGTAGCAGTGTCTGGTCTCAGTGGAAACAGGCCATAGTGGCACTGCACATGGCTCTGGACTTTCTCTGCTCCAGCCCTTTCAACTCAGAGACAGTTACTGCAGAACAACTGCTTTGGAAAAGAAGAAGCAAAAAGAGGTCATAAGAAGGATGGGGCTCTTACTGAAGCTGACTGAAAGCATCTCTCTGCTCTTAGAAACTGCTGAAGAGGTTATTACACTTCCAGAGAAAGCTGCAATACTGAGAAAGGTCAGTGCATTGATCTAATACTCTGGTAGTGCTGGAATAGATTGGACCAGCATACCTGACATCTACTATGTAATTAATTAACAATTACAATCACTGTAACATCTTCCACATTTTCACTTGATATCTAAACAACTAAGATGTTGATTAATCAAAATTGTTTGCATTTCTTTGGTGAAAAAGGCACTGAAGATGCCTATTTTATTAAGACTTTCAACTGACTAAGTAGAAAAATACAACTGCCTTATCACATAATGTTACCTTCTATGCCTCACAAATGTCACAATTTAAACTAATCTGTACAGCAAGCTCTGGTTTTAAAATCAAAGTATCTAGTTTTAAAATCAGTCTCCAAGTAAGAAGATAATGTTCCTGCATAGAGGAGAAAATGTGTTCAACTTTCCCCATAAGAGAATTTTATAATTCCAGATTTTGTAGTTTGTGGGTTAATTACTTCAGTGTATAGTTAAGCCACAGTCTCTTAATGATGCCAAGGAATTGCAATGTCAAACATGCAACTGAATGCAGATAAGGTGGGGGGGGGGGGGGTGTTGGGTTTTTTGTTTGCTTGTTTTGGGGTTTTTGTTTGATTTGGGTTTTTGGGGTTTGTGGTTTGTTTTGGTTGGCTGGTTTTTTTTTGTGTTTTTTTGTTTGGTTGGTTTGGTTTTTTTTTGGTTTGGTTGTTTTTTTACTTTTTCTCTTTAGTTTTTCTACATAAACTGGCAGGAAATTGATACTATACCTAAACATATGGAACAGGGTCTACCTGGTTAACCTTTACTCTAGTCAATTTGTCTAGAAAGTGGATGAAAATGAGTTCTATTACTTTAAGTGGCTAAATGGGGGTATTTTCCTCAAACTCATAAGCTGGTAATTGCTTCCGTAAGTAACTAGTTTTAGTTAAAACATTCCCTGCAAGGGAAACAATCTATCATGAATTTTTTATACTCTTCCTTAGTTTTACATGGGTGCTTAGCTTGGTAATACAGAGGAAATCAGGCTCAAGTCCAGCCAGCTCCCTTCTGATGCTGTACTCTTAAGGGGTTATAATTGTATTTATATAGGAACCATATCTACTGATACTTGCTCATCAAATTATGTATACAAAAAAAGCATGTATTTTATAAAACAGGAATTAAGAATGCAAGGTGTGACACATCATATGGGTGGTTTTAAGGCTTGTCCTAATGATTAGAGAATCATTTATCTAAACTTAATCTTACACATACAAGAAATTGGCATTCCTAATGTTGCTTTTTAAATGCTAAGTTACTATAAGCTAACTGGCTCTAGCAACCCTTACTTACATGACTCAAATCTGAAGATACTCAATTGCCAGAAAAGCTGATGGATCAAACTGTGTTCAGAGGTATGCACTATCCCTTTCCTAAGTGTAGGACATAGTCAAGGCAAGGTGAAGACTGTAAAAATCTCCTGTAGGAAATGGAGACAAGGGGAATGCTGCAACTAGAACATCTGATTTTGAAGTGCATTTCAAAAATGTCTACGAAGTCACATGTTATGACACATCATTTAGGTAAAATGGAAAAAGGAGGCAGAAGAAACTACTTCAAAGTCACACATTAAACATTACTTTAAAACCATTAAACCTTTCAGCAGTTTGTTCACAACAAATTTAACAACAGACCTACTACATTTAAACAAGACTGTCAGGATCAAAAATGTCTGGTACCTCCTCTATATGGCTCTATTTCTGACATACCGGAGAATGGCTGAATTCTCCCTGCGTAAGAAGTGCCTATCTGATCAGCTATGCATTTTGGGTGTATTTTTATAGCAACAAATATGCCTGATTCTTCCTAAATGCAAGTTCTAGTTCATTATATAAACCAAAACCTTATCAAGTGTTAAATGCTAACATTAAAAGTAGGAAAGCCACTCCTGCCATGACACTTACCAATTAAATATTTGAAAGCTGAAAGTGAGAAGGACTTCAAAAAGGACAATTTGATTAAAGTAATTTAAGTTGCAATATCATAGAAATTCTACGCAGATTTATAAAAAATATAATCTGCATATTCTACCTCAAAATAAGTAATTGTTACACTGAAAGGATAAATTTGTTACACAGATGTATCTGTCTTCACTACAGCTTCTTGTGTCCATGAGATGCTTTCTGTACAAGGCTGATACTGATACACTTCTGCACTTTCTCTGTGGCGATGTGTTGTTCTTACATATTGTAAGGTGTGATCATTAATGTAATCCATTAACAAAAAATGTTATGCTTCTTACAAATTTTAAGTCTCAAAACTCATCGGGGGGCTAAGGAAGGACACACATGTAAACCTTCTCACAGTATTGCTACCTTTAGAGAGTCTTGCCTAAAAGTTACAATATTTTTCATTAGCCTGGATGAAGGGGAGAAGAGACACTGAGATTAAAACAGAATCCAAACTAAAGTCTTTCTGAAATGACTCTTCACAAGGTTAAAAGTATTATGATTTCAGTTCTAACCGTAATTGTAGTTATGCATCTACCTACAGTTAGTACTTCCCAGATGTAATTTAGAGCTTTAACCATCTCAAACTGTCATATATGACCACTTCTTCACTCAAGGAGTGTATGAAGATTGACTTAAGCAGGCTTTGTATTTCCTATAGCCTCGAGTCCCAGACTACATCTGTTTTCTTTGATACACAAAACCAGAGTTAAAATAGCTCCATTTATCACAGGGTGATTGTAGGCAGACAAACTAGCCTGACTGCTTCCAGATAGTGAAAACAACTGTTATTAATCACAATTACAAGACAAATACAAGAAATTGCACCAGTATTTTCTTTTACCCCACACAATAGACTAGTCTTAGCAGTGCCAAGAATGACAGGGCCTTAAGGTCATTAAATAAAACTAACACTGTTAGAGTAATTCTCAGCAGCACTTTTGCTAAGAACTAGAAAAAATGAATCTTGAATATCATACACAATGAACTGCCAGACAAAACCACTCAGACCTGAAAATATTTATAAGAGGCAGTCATGCATACAACAGCAGCAGAAGTCTAACAAAAACCAAGTTTTCCATATCTGTGGAGTCAGAAAGCTCAAATGTGCAGGGGTTTTAGAATGCTATATAGCTTTTTTTCTTGTTCAACATACGCAGTAAGCAAGGTTTCATATGGTGAGGGCAACTACCTCCAAACACATGACAAGCTCCAGCTGCATGCAAGTTAATGGATAAAATGCTAGGCACAGTAAAATACAGCTGCCACAGCAGGGGAGAGCACAACAGTACATCAAGGAGGTAATTCCACATCTCATATGTGAGAGCCGACTGGTCCAATGTACCACCATATTAAAGATTTAATCAGAGGAAAATAAGAGCGTATTAAAAAATCCTGAAGCCGTTTTCACTCATGTTATCATCATCTACACATCTTTCAATATCCTGACACTGCTAAACCAGAGTCAAATTCAGTTTCTGTCACAAAGCTAGATGTCTGAAAACAGCCCCAGCTGAAGGTTTCAAGTCCAGGAAGTTGCCATTATGTTTTAAGGCACAGCTTCCACCTTTCAGTTTTCACACACACAGAGCCTTATTAGAATCACAAAATTTTTTATCTAGTTTCATACCATTAGACTACTTCTTTGCTTTTATTTCTGTGACCAAACACCCCAAGAGAGGAGAGATAAGAAATACATTAACTTAACCAGTAAGCCGCACTTAAGAAGTTCACTGCACAAGTCAAATTGACTTCACAAGTCTTGCATGCATCCGAGTATGCAGCATTGTATAGGACACATGTAATCAAATTAGGCTACCTGAATATGTGGGAAAAGCATACATAAGGTATACAAAGCATCCCTTACACATGCCATAGGTTCTTAATAGTAAAAGCACAAAATAGCTTGCAAAGAGGCTAATAACTCATGACAAGTAATTTCCAAACTCCAAGAAAAGAAATTGAATAATCATAACACACCGATAATATCAATACTTCCCTAACAATTACACAATAAATGGTAGGTTGCAACATAGCCCATTTCAGGTCAGTAGCTCTTTTATGCAGATACTTTCACTAAATGCTCTGAACTTAAGGCTAATGGCTTTTACCTAGCCATAGCAGCCTAAGCTGTCTTAAAACTGTGAAGTTGAGGTCTTCATAACTGAATACATCTATGCACAAGGGTCAGAAGAAGCTGCTTAAGACAGACTGACCAACTACGTTTTCAGGTTCTCGCAAAGCCAATAGACTTCTTATAAAAGATTTGAGGCTGGTGCTCATAAATACACCACACTGTGTGATTTGACATCAAGCAAATAAGGTCTAGGGACATATGCCATGGAAATCTGGCAAAGGCACAAGAAATTCCTAGGAAGAATGCCAGGAGATGGCCTTCCCCTTTTCTCCCCCAGTAATTTCAGTTAATGCCTGTAAAATATTTTTCAAAGTTCAATTACAAACTATTCTATGTAGTCATGAATATTTAGCAATATTGAAGACACTAATATTAGACTGAGAACATTACCTCCATGGTGATGTGACAGACTACCCCCATTGGCAAGTATTTCTTCTCTAGCAGCCCTCTAAATTGGAAAGAGAAGATACTTATTCAACAGCAAAAGCACAAGATTTTTGTTGTTAGTCAAATGGTTGCTATGGTACTAATTTACACAGGTGTATGAGGTTTCAGAAGTTATCAAGGGCATGCAACCCAGGTAAGCATTTTAATTCAAGTGTGCAGATAAATTTAAGTGGGGATTTTCCAAATAAACATTATGAAAGCCAACACATTTCAAATGGCATCTGTTACAACAAATCTAACATAGCAGACTTAGATCAGTGTTTACCTAGGCCTAAACAGAAATAACCACAGTAGTTAATTCTCTAAAATAGCACAAGAAAGACCCTCACATTTATTATTCTCTATACTGTTAATAAAAGATCTCGATATCTTGATAGTTTTACCATGTATTTTAAAGACTAATTGAGTATTACATGAAAGAAGTAGCTTCATAGATAGTGAAACTAAGAAAGTCTTGTTTCCCATGGATTTGGGTTTTATGGTTGATAGTTTTTGCCATCCAAGAACAAACTCCAGTTCAAGCTTTCCTACACTTCACTCATAAGCTGATGTCTAACATACTCACCTAGTAGTCTTTTCTCTACTTGGTGCACTATTAGAGTGCACCTCTTTCCCTAGCTGCTAGTGATAAAACCTTTACAAACAGACTTCGAGGATCCTTCCTGAAAAAATCAGTTAGCTTGGCCAATGTGTTCAGCATATATTATAGGACATCAGTTTCTTTCCTGCCCCCTTAACTATCACTCTTACATACATTACCTCAATTTGTTCATAGACATGAATAGGATCACTAATTCCTCTGTAGTTAAAGGCAAAGTAGAAGTAGACACATGCACCTGCATCGTAAGTCTGTGTCACCCTGTCAAAGAGAACTGCATTACAAACAAAGCTTTATGGTATTAAGCCAGCCACTGTATGACATACATTACACAATTCAGAAAGTTACTTGGCTTATTTAAAAGGGTGGACTTTTTTTAGTTTTGTACTCTTTTTGACCAGACTTCACAAATGATTAAAGGCCAAGAGCTTCAACTCTCAGTTATAAGTCATTATACTCAAGTCTCATTAATATCAACAAGAGTAAGTATCAAGACTAATCAAGCGCTACTAATCTCTTGAATTATCCACTTGTCCATGTAATCCACTTCCAGGTTAAAAAGAAAGATCAAGATTACTAGTGTTTGTAATACCATTAATAGATGCACTTTACCTACTAGCTAGCAAGTTTGATGACCTCTGCCTTAGTTCTCTTACTAATCAAAGATTCAAAAAATTATTTAGGTTGTTGCAAGGCTTACCTGCAGGTGGAAAGAGGAGCAAACTGAACGCCCTTTTCTTTGCATTCTCTTACTATCCTTTCTTTTACATTCCTACAAAGGTCCAAAACCCTACAACAAAACACATATTAAATATAAAACCTACTATATCTTCTTATGCAATTTCCTAAAAACACAACTTCAACAATTTTTTCAGAAAAGTATAATCTAATAAAAACAGGTTCTAGCAGGCAATTGTCTGTTTTACCTGGCTTAGATTTTGTTCCAAGAATAGTCCTCATCAAGACTTCACTAGTATTGCTTTTTCTGTACTTCTCCTGTAAGTTTGCTGAGGTAGAATAGGTAATGAAAGCTCTTTTTCTCAAGGGATAGGAATCACTAGTTTGCCAGCTTGACATGTTATAGTTCTCATATGGCAATGAGCTATTAAACCTGGTCATAAGCCATACCTGTTTTGCTTTAATTATTTCTAACATGGTAACATGTGCTTGCAGCCCAGAAAGTCAACTGTATCCGGGGCTGCATTAAAAGCAGCATAACCAGCAGGTGGAGGGAAGGGATACAGCCCTGCACTCTGCATTCTTGAGACCCCACCTGGAATACTGCTTCCAGCTCTGGTGCCCACAACATAAGGACGTGGAGCTGTTGGAGTCCAGAGGAGGCCATGAAGATGATCAGAGGGCTGGAGCACCTCTCCTATGAAGACAGGCTGAGAGAGCTGGGGTTGTTCAGCCTTCAGAAGAGAAGGCTCAGGGAGACCTTACAACAGTCTTCCAGTCCCTAAAGGGGGCCTCTACAAGAAATCTGGACAGGGACTTCCTACAAAGGCACACAGCAACAGGGCAAGGGATAACTTTAAACTGCAAAGAGTTTAAGGATTTAGGTTAGATATTGGGAAGAATTTATTTCCTGTGAGGGTGGTGAGGCACAGGCTGCCCAGAGAAGCTGTGGCTGCCCCATCCCTGGCAATGTTCAAGGCCAGGTTGGATGAGGCTTTGAGCAACCTGGTCTAGTGGAAGATGTCCCTGTCCATGGCAGTGGGATTGGAACTAGATGCTCTTAAGGTCCCTTCTAAGACAACCAATTAGGTAAAAGACCTTAATCTTGGACAGAAAGTTATATTTTCAGTTTTCATTTCCCTGCATTGCTCAGGAAAGAAAAAACTTAAATATACTTAAACAATTTTTTTAACCTTCACTATGAACTTGTCTGTTTCAAATACACTGCTGATCCCACATATGTGGCTGCTCATCACACAATACAGTTATTTTGACTGTTGTCCAGCTTCCTAAACTGGGCAATTTCAAGTCCCATATTTGTTACAGTAAGCTAGCCTGAGTTGAAATATCACAGAATGCTTGCATATATTGGATTTACACAATCCTGACATGTAATTTATTAGCAACTTTAGCAAGAACACACAGGTGCAAAACTTGAGGCACATCAGGGTGCCTCCAACACACATAAGGCCTAAATTAAATAAAGTTTCCCCATGAGCAAACATTAGTTAGGAATAATTTGAATGAAATCAAGTACAAGTTCTAAGCAATTCTGAAGAATAATCACAGTTTACCTGTCCCAAGGAACAGATGTCTCAAATGATTCTCCTATTACATAGTAATCCAGGCCAAGGTCCTAATAAATAGAAAAAGGAAATTATCAGTAACATTCAGCATCAACATCTGGGAATCTCATTTATGCTACACAGCTAACAGTTGAGGAACTTCAGTTAGTTCTTATGAGAAAAACAGAAAGTCTGTTTAGCAAAAATAGCCATGTCCCAGTGACATTAGTCTGTAATTATGGAAATAGGGTAGCTCTTCAAAGAAAGATGACAAACATTTTGATGTCATGGCTACAGTGAGACAAATTGTCAGACTGTCAGTAAGCCTACATTAATCAAATATTTGTATCAATGGAGCATCAAGCCAAGAAGTCCGTTGTCCTAACCAATATGACACCTAATAGAAATAATTATTTGGAATGCAATTCTTACCTAGGTAGAATAAATACAAGCATTTTGCACATTTTACATGCAGCCTGATGAAATAATGGGAAACTCAGTGATTTTTCCCCAACTATAAAATCCACTTAAAATCTATAACTTAGGATGTGCGTGCTATTCTCAAAAAAAGAGCTCTCAAACAGCAGGACTGAAATTTGTAAGAACAGCTGCAGCAATTCAGACTAAAGGTCAGTTTCTCCTGGAATTCCGATTCAAACCACAGCCAAGAACAGATATCTAAAGACAAGTAAGAGCTGAGTGAGCACATGAGTATTTCAGGTACTCTCCCAGCCTTCGACTACATTCAACCTGTAGATTTGTAAGTCTGATCTGTTTATTTAGCAACTGCTAAATAAACCAATGGAAGCTTCAATCTAATTTTCTCTACCCTTATTAGGGGCCATTTTTTTAATGAGCACATAAATTTATGTTTTTATGGTGTTTTGAGATGAAGTTCCATGAGCAAACACTACTCAGAAATGGAAGAGATACAACCTCTGGGAGAACTGAGATATCAACCAAAGCAACCTGCATTTAGATTTCAGAGAAAGCATCTTCAAAAGAAAAGCTGTTTTGTTGTATCAACCAACAAAAGTTTCAGCAAGCAGACAAAATGTGACCTACCCGAAGGTAAGCGATGACAAATGTCAGCATATATCCTCTCTGTCCATTATCTTCTCCTGCTGCCAAGCCACTGCAATTAACAAGAATTTAATTAATTTTCCAGCAAAGCAGTCACTTGTTTCCAAAAGTGTTTAGAAAATAATACTTTGATATCAAACATATGTGTAAGTTTAGATGTGTCTAAACTGCATTACAATAGTTGCAAGTATTAGGGTCATCTTCAATAGACATAAGAAGTCACTTCAGACCAGACCTATAACTCTTTGCATCTCTTTTTATACCATAGTCTGAAGAGATGAACACTAACAAAATATTTAATGTGATCTTTAAGTCTTCAAACATCAAAAGAGAGAGGGGAAAAGGAACTAGACATAATATATCGTTCATGTTCATTTACAGGAATACATGTAACAACATTTCTAAGTGCGTTGGATCTGTTCATTTGTATGCTTACAGGTCACTGAGAGCAAGACTACTGACTTGAGATCCCAAAAGTGTAAGTGATGTGAATAGAGAAAAAAAAAGAAAAAAGACAGAACTAAAAAAAAAAAAGGAAATTAAGATATTAAACACTTAATAGTTAACTAAGCCTTAACTGAGCAGCACAGAGCACTGTCTAACAGGCTTCACACAGACAAGTTTCATCCCCCCATATCAACTCATCACCTTGAAATACCACAAAATACAAAGGATTTACAGTTGAAGCCTTTTCTTGCATACGACATTACAATAAATAAAGTGCTCTTTAAGATAATAGCAACATTATTCTCATACGAGCAAACTGCTCATGTGAAATCCCACTTTTATAAGGTATTTTTAAGTGGTAGAATGAAAGCACAATGAAAACAAATTTCAGAAAGGATAGCCTTGAAATGCATAAAACAATACTTATATATATTTGAATAGTTAATAACACTAGCAATAACTTTCTTAAAAGAAACAAGTATACTCTTCATAAATCCCACTTAATGGTTTTCAGTCATGCTTAATCAAAGCAGAAGGACAGAAGCTACCTGCTCACTATTCAGCCAATTTCCAATGAATGTTTTCTGTTCCTTTATAACAACAGAAAACAGACTGTGGGACAGAAATTCACTGCATTCCTTTAACTAAATACAAAACCCTCTTGAACAAGCTTCTTATATGTTCACATAAATTCTGCAAGGATTTAATATTACCCATATGATTTTTGTCTTCCCCTTCTGCAGTTAAAATACAGTCTAGTACTGCAAAGCATTTCCATTCCTAGAAGCTATTATAATGGCTAGTTTCCATTTTAATAACATTAATTCTACGTTTAGTCAAATACTTACTTTTCTGCAATACAGAGCTGAAGTTTTCCAGTAAAGTTACCCATTAAGGGTTAGCACAAGCCATATATATTGAACATTCAGTAGCTAGTTGATTATTGCAACTTCAAACTAATAAATTGAGAACATACTATACAGTAATCACTAAAACATGGCAATCCTGTTTTTTTTTCCTGAACAGTTAACTTTCAGTTTCATATGAAAAAGTTTTTTGACAAGCATACCCAAACTTGGTGGCAATATCATAGACTTGCTTTTCATGCTGAAGAACTTTCTCTCTGTCACCTTCAAAGAGTAAGGTAGCTACACACAGTATGTTGGGATCAAATCCTTTAAACTGCAAAGACAGAAAGCTTCACATTATATGGTGGAATACAAGTTCTGACTTTTCAAATACATAGCATGTGCTCTGGTTAATAAGTGGTGTTGCAAGTAAGAGGGAAAGATTAGCAAAAAACATATCTTTCAAAAATTCACTCCCAAAACAATCTCAAGTTTGTCCTTGACAGGACCAGCATTCACAAGCCCACTGAAGTAACAGTTATTATCTCTGTCACCTTTTTTTCTCCTGTTAAAAAGCCAGACAGACGTAAAAACTGCCTACAGGTGCTGAAGAAACAACAGGTCTTAACTGCTTTAGCATTCAGGAGACACTTGTATTCTACCAACTATTCTTGTGTTAAAGCAGGAAGATGACTGTGATGACCATATATCACTGTTCTCAAAATAGTTGTACCAGAGAATCCCTATGCTGGGAAAAGCACTATGGAAGGAAAATAACTTCTAAACTTGTGGGAGGGAACATATCCCAGTGAAAATGAGGAGAAAACTATTAAAGGTTTAACAGTAATGCAATGAGGCTGTATGTATGGCTTTGTTTCAGGAGTAACAATCAAGATTCATCTCTCTGCAACTGGTCCAAAAAGCACCTTACTTATTTTCTACATACCTTTTTTTTCCTGTTATTAATTAGCTCCTGTGAACTACCACTAATAAGCAGGTTTCAGATAGAATGAAGAGGAATATAAAGTTGCAATAAATCTTAATACTCTTTACCCTTTTTAAGTATCCTAAATAATTAAATTTTTACAACTATTCTTAATATGCATATTGACCAACAATTATTTTTTTAAAGCCTTTCCCTTCCCAGTGGCATTCATCTTTTCCAGCCTACTATGCTTGTGGTAACTTGTTACTTAAGCATCAAAGTTGTATTTAGTGACATAAATAATCAAGAGAATCAAATTCATCCTTTATGCACAACAGCTATGCAGAGAAAAATCCCAGGTACTTGCTATTCCTTTTATTAGTCCCTTAATGGAATAGATATACTGTACTGGAAGTTAACTGAAGGTACCAGAAGGGTTCAAAAAACCAGCATGGAGGCAAAGTATCAGGGTGGCTAAGTCCTCCAGCCAAATCTGCTTGTTAAGACCCAGTTATAGACATCCAAATTTCTGAAATGGATACTGTATCCTACCACCCCCAAAATAAACCAGAATAGCATCATGAAAACCACTGTGAAACAGAATATACCTTGGAAGGAAAAAGATATTTTTCATTAGTCCTACAAAAACAGCATAGCTAACAACTAGAAAACTATTGTTACTACAGTGATAAACTACAAGGATAGGAATAAAGGATGCTGTTTACAGTCCCTTGTTCTAGAACCACTTGTATTTCATCTAGCATGAATCCTTTCAGTCTATTCTGCCATCTTTTGGCTGTGATACTCAGGTAACAATTTATGGCTGTCTTTAAGAGGCACCGGAGGAACTAGCTACAGTGTGAACTAGTAGACAAACAATGCCTAGAATATTCATCTATCAGTGAACAGTCCCAAACTACATGGAAGAGTAAACATGGGAGAGAAAGACTTCATCCCTATTAAGTGGCATCTGTTGAACAACTACACTTTTCAATAAAAGAATGAAGTGTTAATCTGATGTTTACTCCCTTCCCCAGGGAGCAATTCACAGATGAAGCATAAAACACATTTGAGCATCTTGGTCCCAGAAACACTTGCTGTATCAGCCTCAAGGGACTGTGCCCTGACGTAAGAGCTTCAGACTGGTCACCAACCTAAACTGCCTGGATCAGTATAACATAGCATTGTTCTTATTTCTCCATGGTTTTCCTCCTGCAGAGCTGGAAGAATTTGAATTGCCATACAACATCCCCTGGTGACACAGTATCTCAAGTGGAAGAGGTGATGCTTGTTGCCAGATACAGAAGAAGGAGGTATTCCTAACAAGGATTGTTTCAAACCAACAGCTGTCTTGTTACCAAAATCTTTACTGCAGCAGATCTGGGAAGGCAGGCAAGAGTTTTGGGCTATCTCTAGAATTAATAGGTATTCCCTAACAAAGTAAGCCCCAAGACACATGGTATTTTCAATTTCAGTAGCTCAAGAAAAAGCAACATAATCGGTATTAGCCACTGTCTCAAATAAGCCTACTCCTTGAAGACACTCATAAGATCAGAATGGAATGTTTGTCTTCCTAACAGTTATCTAAAAGCAGGATAATGCTGTTTATTTGCTGTAATTTGAATACCCAGGAACTCCCTAGTTAGCTAATTTGGAGGAAAAAACCCACAGTAACAAAACAAATGATTTAATACAAAAACCTAGGTGAAATAATTTTAGCACCAGATAATTCTGAATTAAAGAATATTCATTAAGAGTTATTCCAGAAAGACTGTAAGAACACTTTACACAGGCAATTCAAGACAAGCATTTTGATGTCCTTCTAAAATTCTAGTTCACTGTAATAACAAGGTATATCATGCTGTGATAAAATCTGGGAAGAGGAAAAGATAAAATGTTAGCCCTGCTCCATCAGTATTAACTGATTAACAGCGGTCTTCAAGCTAGATAAACTGGTTTCAATCAGTAGCTCATTATTAGACAAGGCATATTAATCTCATCTACACATATGACCAGTGAGAAAAGCTCTTGTGGAACGACTCCTCAAACATATAATCTCTTTTTTGATTAAACCACCTTGAGAATCTTGAGTTATCTGATACAACAATGTGGGATATGTTACACTCAAACTCATCTACATTAGAGACAGTCTACCAATGAGTTCTTTGACTGTATGAATAACATGTAAAGTTCCAAACAGTATTAAACCCCCGAAGTTACCTTTGTGATGTAGAATTTTTTCAGTCCATCCAAAAATGATGTAAAAATGGAAGCAACTTGTGGTTTAAGAGCATGACCTTTGGTAAAAAGTGGAAAAAGGTGTGTTAAGGCAACAGTGCTCTTAAAATTCCTACTTCAATGTGCAAATAAAGCACAGCTTAGTAGTCAGAGTTGCAAGAATCACTTGGAGAGCTTTAATTATCATAATTGAAGAGACTTCACTCATTTAGAAGATGATTTAGGAACATGTTTTTATTATTTTTTCTTTAAAAGGCATACATACAACTGTGCACAAATATTCCATTTAGCACTTCAATTAAGGCTGCCCTAGTTTAGATCTTTACAAATATATGGCACATGGAAAATTTTAAAAGAGTACCTCATTAGTTTTTACACTACAAAACTAAGCAAAATCAGTGACCTTTTTTAAAGTTATGCCAAAACCACTGAAACCAGTAGCCAAAAATGGTGCAAGTTGGGAGTTAAGCAATTTTTTTCTTAACGGTTATGTCACTTGTGCAAAATTTCCTACATAAAGCTAGTAATTGCTTCCTTAATCAGATACAGGGAACTAAAATTACCAGGATATATAAATGGTGTCTTGGAGTCTGTTAAATTAACATCTCTGCCTCAGGACTGGGTTTAATTGAGATTAAAGTCTTTTACTGTTTGCTCCATTGTTTTCAGTCACAAGCAACTTCTGAACTCCCATTACTGCTTCACTATAGCCGTCTCACATCTGGCCTACACGCTGTGAGCCCAATTCATAAAAAAGTTATGCACCATTTACATGATACTTCCTTCTAAAATACTTCACAAAGTATTTCCTCCTGAATAAAGCACGAACTTAAGCAAATGATTACTCTCCTTCCCTCTTTGGCACTCTCCCTGCAGATAAAACAAACCCCCAGGAGTACACCTCCAAGCACACTTAAGTAAGCATAACAAAAAAGCACCATATAACAAAAGGACATGAATTTATTAAGCCACAAACTGTAAAAACTATTGGATTTAAGCTTACCTAATAATGGCTACAAGAAAATTCTATATTAACACACCGGAAATTATACTTTGCAGGTGAATGTATAAGCTACAACCTCAAATCAAAGGAGATTTATTTATTCGGTGTTTGGTTTAAAGCCTGTAATTAGCCAAGCTTCTTCCCAATTAAAAAAGTAAAATGTACGTCTTCCACTGAACATATGTCGTGGTTTAAACTGCTGAACCCAGGACAACATATCTGAGAGAACATGTGTAGCAAAAAAAGAGTGACATAAGCAAGCAGCAAGGCTTGCTGAAAGTCAAGATTCATCACTGAGGTTTCTACCCAAAGGAAGTTTCAAAAATTCTGACTTACTCAAGTGGTAGTAAATTAGGAGGTTTTCAAGGTCAGCCACACTTCACATTTTCATCTTCCAAGTACAATTGAAATAGCATGGTCTATGCAAGACCTTCAAGTTCTGTTAACTGTTAGCTTTTAGGTAGCGGAACTTCAGGTTCTCCTCAAGAATACCTTGACCCAAAACATATCTGTGTTCTTCCTACAGTTAGATGTGACAGCTTTCCTTAAGAACTGCTCAAAAACGATTGCTCTGCATGTCTGATATTGTCCTATTTAGGTATTTTAACTAGTTGAAATTTCACAAAATCTTTGTGTTTAGTAATCTTCTAGTAGCTTCACTGACTTTCTATACTTAAAGCCTTCAGCTTAGTTCTATTTGCATACACTTATGGCATTTACTATGTCTAAGCTTCTCTTAAAAAAGAGACAACTCAGTTTGGACAAGTCTGTCATCACCTCTCTCCCATCAAAACAATCATTGTCACATCAGATTATTTTCTGATAATTATCAGAATTATAATTCTAATTCTGCTACTTCTAAGGAGTCTGTTTACCATTTGGTTCCTTTGTATTTCACAGAAACATGACAATCAACTTACCTTCAAAATAAGGTGCCCGCATTCTGATAATTTTTTTCATCATATCCAACTTCTCATTAGTACACTTAGAAAGAAAATGTTTCATATATTGCACACTATAACACAAAACTATAATCTCTGCTCCTTATGGTAAAACAGAGGAAGCACCTCCACAATTTCAAACTCTGCAGTAGACTATATGCTAAGAATAGAAAAGTAGCAAAAAAAATTCTCATGTATTTATATGCAGAGCATGGCTCTTAACTGACTGTTGTAGTTGATACTGTTTTCCCAGGGACAAAACCAGGCTTTTGTTCCTGAAAGTACACACTGTGGCATTATCTGGCATTTGAACTTCGGGCTCATTGTCCTAGTTTTGAGGAACAGAACTACCTAAAACAGACGTAAGTAACTAAAAAGCAAAACCCCTGGAAAGAGATATTTATCTGAGAATGTCTACATACTTACCAAACTGAAATTGTGCATTGTCAACAAGGCGAATTGATGCAGGAGCACATCTCTTGAGGGCCAAGTTAGGGGAACAAGAGGGAGGAAGAAAAAAAAAAGAAGATTATGTACATAGTTTTGCTAACATTCACTACAATTCAGTTTTTATTTAAGAATACAATACAAGAAAGCACTTGGATACCAGAGACCTATGGTCATCATCATAATTGAAAAGCAGTGACTATAAGCTTGTTTTCACTTGAATAGCAACATTTATTAGGTATGTCTAGATATAACGCATTGAGAATTTTAGGTTTAGCATCAAGCCAACAAAAGTGTAGTCCAAAGACCTTTGGCCTTCAAGTATTGAGTAGTTTTCTAAATTGCCATATGCACTAAAGATGCCATAGTTGATTAGAATACCAAGCTTATATTAGTATGTAATCAAAGAAATACATTACGAATTCATTGAAAAAGTCTAATTCTCTACAGTTTTACTTCTAACCATGATGTTACACAGATTAATCTGATACTATGCCCCATCCCTGGCAGCATTCACAGCCAGACTGGATAGGGCTTTGAGCAACCTGGTCTAGTGGAGGAGAGGGTGTCCCTGCCTATGGCAGGGGCGGTTGGAACTAGGTGACACTTAAGGTCCCTTCTAACCCAAAATGTTCTATGTTTCTATGTTACTGTGATATGGAATATCCCTTTGGTCAATTTGGGTCAGCTGTCCCAACTGCATTCCCTCCCAGCCTCTTGTCTGCTTCCAACCTACTGGCTGGTGGGGAAAAGCATGAAAAATAAGAGAAAGTCTTTACAGTGTGTACATGCTTTTCAGCCAAAACACTGGTGTGTTAACACTGTTTTGGTCATAAGTACAAAATGCATCACCACTTGGGCTGTTATGAAGAAAATTAACTCCATCGCAATCAGACCCAGTACATTAATGCTCTGCCATCAGACTGCAATTAAAATCCCTATCTGGGTCCAACCTACATTCTGCACTGTACAGAAATCTGAAAAAACAGATTGCCCTCAATTAGGCAAGCTTCTCATCACGCATATGCCCACATCATGTACCTGTGATAGCTATGGCCAGTCATACTGACATGTATGGCCAGAGGAACATGACGAAGCCTGAATTTTAGGCTATTCTCATCTAATCACATAATTATGGAAGTATGTCTCTACCACTGATATGCTCACCCTCCATAATATCAGTACTCTATACCTTATCACACAATAGGAAAAAAGAACATGAAGAACCAAGATAGCTCACCAGGCAGGCTGACAGAAGACAGCTAGATGAGTGGTTTTAAATGAGAACCAAACCACCCATATCCTGCAGGTTGGTTATTCTTACATTAAAAGTAGATCAACACAGATAAGAAACAGCTTTTCAGATAACAATCATTGTAATTACTACCAAGATTGATGCAAAGGGCAACAGAAGAGGAGTAAGTACTTCAGGCTAAAGTAAGCAGTGAAACAGCAGCAGTAGCTTAAAAATGGAGCAATGTTAAGTGGCTAATAGTGCCTTTTTTTCCTCCTTTTCTACCTAAGCCCACAGCTAGGAAAAGGATACTAGTTACTTCACTGACTTAAAATGTTGTTCAGCCACATGATTAGGCATTCCCAAACAGTCTGCTTAGATACCTTTAACAGGAAGAACAAGCACTAGCAGTAGAAGCATGAAAGAAGAACTGGCAAGTGCTGCTGACTAGCATATACATGTCATTCACATACCAGTTTGAACATCTGGCTTGGAACATTAAGTCATTAATTTAGACCAATCACTGGAAAAAATGTAAAGCTGTGTTTAGTTTGGCATTAATTAAAACATTTCTGAAATTACTTCCCCAACTCAGGGTATATTCCACCATTCACAGAAATTATTTGATATGTTCTGCACAGAGCAAAGAGAAATTAGTCTAAGATAGCAAAGAAAGAGGCTAGTGTAAGATTTGCTTTGAAGCATAGCTATGAGGAAAAGTTATTATGCAATTTGGATATGCATGTCTGGGTTTTGCTACCTGAAAACTATCTGATCACACTATGCAGAAGGATCCACTTAAATACTACACTGTAAGCACAATTCCACCTCAAAACATCCAGCTCACCTGAAAATGTCACTATGCTTTAAGAAGTATTTTCTAAACATAGGCCATATCCTTCAACTGCATAACTTCAGGTCCTTTGTCACTTCAGAACCATACATTCAACTGCCTTTTACTTGCAAGCTGCAACTTAATTCCTTTAAATACTGGTTCCTTTTACATAGTCCTGAATTAATCTGAGGATAAAGCTCTCCGTTGAAGGAGATGCAAAGCCAAATTTTCTGTGCCAAGATATGGAAATAACTCTCATTGAAAAAAAGATATCAAAAGGCACAGCCATGTTTGGCTCAGTATATCAAGCAAATTCAGAACACACTCAAGCCTCAACTGCATAATTTCCAAAAGCCTCATGGACCGTATACACTTCATGGGGTTCATATCTCAAATCCTTGGTTATCAGTTGCCAGAAATACTACAGCATCAGCACATCACTAGTGCTAGAATCTGTGCCCTTGACTGAAGTCAACATCCAGCTTTTCTTTACCTGCTTTGCCACTTCCCTTAAGCAGGCCACCCCTCGTTCAAAGTTAGGGAAGACCACAGAGCCATACTTCTGGTATTCAGGGACTGGGCGAATCTTTATCGTAACTTCAGTAACCACTCCAAGAGTCCCTTCAGGAAGAAAGAAGAACTGAGTAAAGTATTGCAAGATGTACTTCTTGCAAGTTACCCAACTTAAATGTTTACCAGGATGTCTTAAGTTAACATAAACCAGAAATCCCAAGAGTTCAGTAGTAGGTGATGTATTCTTGACTATTTACATGGTAAACTCTCACAGACCCTCTAAATCACTATGTTTGTTAGTAGACTTGTAGGCTAACTACACAGATCTGTTTTAAGCACTGTTCAGAGTTGCTTAACTTCATAGTCTTAAGGTCTTAATTTATTACCTTAACAGAAGAAATTCATGCCTGCATAATGCTACCCATAGACACAGTAGAAGCCACAGCATAAAGATGGTCAAATCATCAGGCCATTACAGAAGCTGAATAAAGATGTGGTTACATTAAATTGTTATGTCTATACCTTCAGATCCCATAATGAAGTGATGGATATCAGGTCCTGTTGACATGCGAGGTACTTGGCAGTTTTTCTCTACTATTCCTCTGGGAGTTACCATTTTTATGTGAATCACCTGTTCAAACAATATGCAACAACAATCAATATTAGCATTAAACACAATGGGTTTTTGTACAGTATTTATTTTCTACAAAATATCATACAGTACAGCTTTGTAGACTTCAAACATCCTGTAGGCAGCCCAAAGAACTTTTGGGATAATGCAAAGACTATTGCAATTACAATAACACAACACAGTTTGCCCACACAACAGACTGCTTCCAGTTCTGTAACAAATCAAATCAGCTGTTGGCTACATGCTGACAATACAAGTTAAAACTGTTTCGTTTCTCAGTGCGGGTAGTACTTTATGAATATTAGGATTTTATTCCAGAACATACAGAGGAAGAAAAGTGAGGGTTTAAATTCTGCTTAACTTTTGCTTTAGAACTGCTGCTTGATAAAGCTAATATAATTTATTGTTTGCTACACAAATATTTCTATTAGTAGGAAAGACAAAAAGCTTAATGAAATAGATTATCAACATTAAATCAGCAATAAGGCATACATATGTAAGGCTAGAAAGTTGTATATTTTGAAATGTTTTTCAAATGTTATTATATCCAGCTTTATCCATGCACATGCAATACAGAGCCTAGATATGTTTTTTTTAATCCTTTATTCTATTTTATATGAAAGAAGTGGGGGGTTGGGTTTTTAAGTGAAGCCTTTAAGTGGAGCCAAAATAACTGAATTTCAATTAATAGCTTTAAAACTTTTAAGCACAGGTAGCCAAGTAATTTTCATCCTGCTTAGAGTTATTCAAGAATTTAATTACATGCTGTTTATGAACTGTTGATTCTGCAGTAAAGTGGATTTTGGGCCGCTTACGCAACACACCGTTTCTAGATATAAACTTTCCTCAGAAAGTAAACACTTCCCTGAAAGCTTCTCACTGTGCCATTTAGAAACTCATGAACTGTTCTGAATCAATTTTCAATCCTATTTCCTCCTAATGAAAATTTCAGGAGCTGCCGTAGCCTAAAGATATGTTTCCATCACAGAAAAGCCTTCTGCTTCACATCTATCAGTACAAGCAAAACTATACCATTCAAACACTACAAGCAGTAGGCGACAGATGACAGACAGTTTGTAAGTGCTAGTAGTTTTAGTTTAGCCAGGCCTACTGAATAAAATCAGTGTAGCTCCTGCCAAGCTCAGTTACTGATAGTAAAGTGTCATGCCTGTGCCTGGAACAAATATGTCTGTGCTATGAGCTAATGAAAAAGCCTGAGATTATGGGGATACATTACCTAGAGTGTGCTGCAAGAAAGAAGGGAAAAACCCACGTGTGCAAGAGCACAAGTACGAACTACAAGAGAAAGCTGGAAGTCTGAAGCAAAAAGGCAAAGTCTGAACAGCGATGATTTTAAGTTCAGTATGTTCAATATATCTGTTATAACAGAGAAGGCTGATTTTTAAATCAAAGTATACACTTTAAAAAACAAATTACCTGGGTTAAAGATGATCTATTTTTATGCTTAAAATGGGTTCAGGAGTAGAATGCTGCCAATGCTTCCTTCCTCAGTGTTCCTACAGACCATGTGGTGACATTAGATTTCACTATTGTACTTCCACATGGTCAATTAGATCAGCCTACTGATATGAAAAACTACTAGCCCAGGGGAGGTAGGAAAAGAGAAAGAGCTAGTTTGATATCAGTTAGATGATCCAACTAGACTACTTCAGGAATACACAATGTGTAGGAGAGAACATGGGTCTTTCGCAATTACCTGGAATGTTTAAACAAGTTTATTACATTGGATTAATAGAGAGCACAAAATAGTGGAAGAAGGCACCAGAGCCAGGAGAGGGTAACAATTCCTTAAGCTAGCCAGTGAATACCAAAATGAAATTGGCTTTTAGTACTAATAATCCTTATCACTCATCTAATACCAAAGGCAAGAAAACAACCATTTCAGTTAAGATTTGATGCCAAAACCGTATTATTTAAGAGAACCACAGTTTATTACCCCTTTTTCCTCATTGTGAGTCACTATAAGGGTTAAACTTCCAAACAGAATAATTAGAAAAAAGTATCAGAATTATTTACCATATCTTCAATGTTTCCATAGATGGTTTTTTTCATGCCTGATGCTCGTGTTGCTACCCATCCTCCTAGTGAGCTGAACTCCATGGAGTCTGGTTCATGGCCTGTACAGAAGCCACTTTCAGCAAGCTAAAGAAAGGAAAAAAAGTATTCTACAGATGGAGTACTAGCATTTGCTTAGTACTCCAAATCTCAATATGCTAGGTTTTGAGGTTGGTTTTGGGGTGGGTGTGTCTGTGGGGTTTTGGGCTTTTTTTTTAAAGCATCCTGACCACATCCCCATATATCCTAACACAAGTTTTGTCTTTGACATGCAAATGAAATGCAAATTAATTCTGTTTCAACTGTGCATACATTGTGCTATGTATTGAAATACAATACTCCCCCGATGTTTTAAAACTAAGACTGCTATAGTTCATAAGAAGGTACAAATTCAATTATACACAGAAAAAAACCTACAACTAACTGCCAACTTTGCACAAATGCTGCCAATAAATAAGGTACTTAATCTCTTGTTCTTTCTATCCTAATGTGATATACAGCAGGTCTGCAGAAAATGTGAGCAAATTGCCTGTACTTAATTCTCTCAAGAAGTGATGTGTTTTAATATACAGCCATCTGGTTGGGCTTCCTGTATGCAACGCGGTCAACTATTTGTGATGCAGATCACACATTCCTGTACACTAAGTAGTCACTTGTTTCTCATTTTTCTGTATTAACTTGGCTTTGCCATCTGTACAGCACCTGAGGTTCATTTGATGCCCTCGGAATTGCAACAGCAAAACTGCTGGGCGGGAAGAATTAAAGACCCAGTAGTCTCACATTAAGTGATAACTGTGTTAGTGCATTTGAGATCATCAATTTGCACTGACCAACTGATAATAATTGTGTTGGACATCGGTATTTAAATATACCACATAATGTGGATCATTAACTATGTTCTGTCGTACAAAGCAGCTCCAACTTAAATGATTGAAAGCCACTTCTATGTAATGTCTGTGGTGATTCATCTAGCTCATGGTCCTCTCTCACACCAGAGAGATCTTGTGGCTTTATATGCTTACTGGTCATATATTAAGAAAGAGTTTAAACTTGCACCCTCCTCAGTCTCCAAGTTGACAAGAAATTTGCTTCAGTTACAACTTGCCAATTTCCACAGGTTGTATAAACACTTTTCTATAGAGCCCACTAATATCTGGAGTTTTCATCCAGCAGAAAAGTATCTTAATTACACTAGAGTCACTAGCTGAGAGACAAAAATGTGACATGTACATTGCTTTTGAATGCCTCATTATAACATGTACAGCCTAACTTTTGTCAAATACCAGGTTTTCCAAACCCATTACTTGCTTAGAATTGGCTCTTAATTTTTAGTTACTAAGGTTCATGATACCTGTAAATGAGATAGCTTAAGTAACTTCAACACCCACAGAGTGAGGAACACATTAAGAGGCACCAATCTCTTCTCTGCAAGGTAATACCTAGATAATGCTGGCAAAGCCTCTTACAGCAACAGAAGTTAGCCTCCAATCCAAAGCCTACTTAATACTGGCAAGCTGCAAACCAAACAAACCTTTCCGTTTTCTCTTTGTACAGTCCAAATGTATATCTATCTGCACTTCTGTGGAAGTCTGCATTGGCATTAACTGTAATATTAAAACATACTTATGCTCAGCTTGTACTACACAAAACAAGCACAATTTGGACTCCTAGTTTTAATCACATCTGATTTGCCAGTAATACCAGAATTCTAGTAGATATAATAAGTTTTTAAAATTAATATACACTTCAGGTAGATGAGCTGATTTTATTGTATTCTTCACAGGTTGAAGGAATTGCATAGAAATCCTTATGTACTCAGAGTCACTCCGTATATTAAAAATATGGTTTACATCTATTGCATGTAATGCTTACCATACCAGTCTGCATGAAAACAATCAAGAATCAAGATAGAATTCAATGATTTAGAGAAGACATGAGGAACAGCTAATAATTGAGAAATACTAAATGCTTAACTAATTAAAAATACCTGGTTTTCCAGATCTTGACCAACAATGCCAGCTTCCACACAAGCTGTTAAGTTTTTCTCATCTATCCAGAGAATCCGATTCTGTTGAAAAGCCAATCAAAACTAAGAATCAGTGTTAAAGATTTCTATTTCCTTCCCTTTACTATTAATACAATTTCAGTTATTACAGCAGTGGAAGCTGAGCCTCCTCACTCTGTCAAACAGCTGCACAACAGGTTACACTTTATGAAATCACCACATACCTATTAGTCAATTTATGCTAAGAATGCTTACAGAAATAATATAGAAAAGCCAGAAAGCATTAAATTGAAACTCTTACAGAAGTTAAGCAATACAGTGATTTTTCAAAGTTAGTGATTGAAGGTGCCTGAATCTATCTGAACATTAAGTATACACCAAGAAAAGTATTCTTAAACATACTTCATGGGTTAAAAAGATCACATTCAGTTATTCCAGGTCAGCTCTTGGATTTTGATACAGTACGCTAGAAGCAAGATATACTACAGGATGACAGAGTAGGTACATGCTTTAGAAATTTAAGATACTTGGAAGGATTGTATCATTTTGCCTGATGAGACACTCACTGTCCCATCAGTATATTCTACTAAACAGGAAAAGTAGTAAATGCTGTAAGTTACACAGTGCACTAAGCATGATTGTCAATGAGGACAATCCATGTGAAGGAGAAACTTGGAAACAAAAATAATAAACATATAGTTTTAGTTTTGTTTATAGTAAAGACACTACAGAAGCTTCATCTTCTGCTCCTCATTCTTACTAGGTACACTTCTGGCATACTTTATAATTTGCGCATTAATATTGTTAAAAAGGAGAATAACTCCAGCTTCCCTTAATTTTTCAACTGACAGAAACATGGACATCTTCTAGTCCAAGTTAAACCCTGCTTTAAAGCAGCTGTCTCCCCTCGCAACAGGAGCTAATTATTCAAAGCCAGCTATTTCAAATTTATTCAAAGCTATATTCAAAATTATTCTGGGCTAATTATTCAAAGCCAGCTATTTCAGCTCCTTTCAGACACTCAGCTTCAGCATAAACTGTTTAAATAATTTAAGATGTTTGTATTTTTATGTAATGTAGACCCTACCTACAAGACAAAAATACCTATTAGCTGCCTATTAAAATAGTAAAGCTTAGCCAATCATCTTAACTGCTCTGAGACACACAGATTTTAACTCTGACAATGCTTCTTTTCAATTTAATTTCCTTATTTTCCCTCCTCATTAAAAATTACAAGAACTGGCTGGCAGAATACAGACGTAAGCAGTCCACTTTCTGACCTGGTGCACACTTTAATACCTAGCTGACAAAAGCATGTGTTCTGCCACCTTTGTAGAACAAGATCACTTTGTAATCAGATAAGCTTGTCATTTCTCAGTGTAACAGAAGCACCACTGAGCAAGCAGAGAAAATGAAGCCAAAACCCAGGTCTTACCTTCAAGGCTAAAGGAGTTAATTAGCTCAGCCAGTGCTCAGGGGCAATAGAGCCTTACATCAAAGACATGGAGCTGTTTCTGAAGCATCTTATTACAGTGTAACCATAAAACTACTATTTAAAAAGTGTAAAGCTCTTTCATAATGGGAAGATGAAAACCGCACTAAATTTTAAAGAACTTTATTTTTGGACTGCCGTAAAACTATAAAATTCACATTCTCAAGATGGTAGCTATACAAAAATCTAGGTGTTCTTTTCTTTAAAGTTGATCCTTCAAGTTGATTTATAGATACTACATCACCTTACCAACCTTTAAGTATTTTTAAGTCTGCAAAAAGGTAAAATTTGCAATAAAAGGCTAGGAGGAAGTTATTTGTTATTTAACTTCACATACAAGTTCCAACAGAAAAGAACAGTAGCTTCTTCTCATTTACTCTTAAAGCTGCTATAAGAAGGCTTAACAGTGGTTTTTTACTTATTAAATACCTACAGGTCATACGAAGTAGTACAGGGCTAACATCAGTAAAAAAAAAAAACACAAAAAACAACACTTAAACAGAAGGAGTAACAATTTAATCATGTATGTTACAAAGTAGTACTTCCATCCCTATTTTATTCTTACAAAGAAAGGTCATTCTCTAGTGATCACCATTCCAAGTAACCACAGGATAATTAAAAAAAACACCCCCAAACAAACATTAAAAAATTGAGACATGTACCATTTGTGATGTATCCAGCGAGACAATTGTTCTTTTTTCTTCTTCAGGACATTCAAGGGCACTAGATACACTCGTCCCTCCTGCAAATATGAGAGTGACACTGATCATAAAATCCTCTGGTAGCTTTTCTTCATGTAACATCCTCCTTTCCCTCCTTTCTGTTATTGAACTTAATAAAGTAAGACTACTGAAGTTAACTGTTTGAGGCTAGTGATTAGCCTTTTAGGGTTGCCTCTTCTTCCAAATGGAGTTTCACAAAATCAAGGCAGCACTCAAGATAACAATGATTTAACCACACTTGATAACAAACCATAAAATTCTGTGACCATCTCAGCTGCTTCTGTTAAGTCCAGAATAGATTCTTAAAACAAGGGAAGATGAGAAATAAAGGCCATTAAAGAAACAGAGACAGCTATGGGCTTATAGATAGTCTTTTGAGATCACTACGGAAGGCACTATACTTCTACCTAAAAAGTTTGCTTAAGAGGTCCACCTAATACAGGTATTTGATACTTCTCTGAAAGCAAGAAACAGAAAGGATACAACTCATAAAAAAAAAACAACAAAAAAGGATAAAGCCAAATGTCCAACTTCACCCAAGGTTTCTGATGTATCTTTACAGGATGTCACAGAACACCCTCCAAGAAGCCTCTGGCTTCTCAAAGACTACAAAGGATACTAAAGAGATCCACAGGAAGCTACAAGAGAACAGCCAATGGCAAGTACAGACACAGCACCAACTAATAAAACACTCTCCAAGAGCAGTAAAGCCCATAACCTTCATTTCCAGTGGTAGGAGAGGTGGCATTTTCCTTCAATACCAAACCCTATAGTAATAACTCCAGAAGCTGACCATAGTTTAGTATAAGCATACTTGGAAAGCAAACTAAATCTCTTTCTCTATCCTGGTCAGCAAAGAAAAGATAGTCAATATTACTACCTTCTGCTATACCAATTTACTAGTACCAAAACCGACTTGTTACAGAGAGTGTTGCAGCTCTCCAGATACAGCTAGAAAGGTTGAGAGGGTTTTAGGGAAAAGACAATACCAAAATAATAGAGCTGGTTTCAGTGACATGCTCATCTTCTCAAACAGTAAACGTCCTTCCTACAGGGGCTACACTCTTTCAGCATAAGCAAGTACCAAGCAACACACAGATTTCTCATAGAATTAAGAGTTCTTGACAAAAACCTTCTCACAGAATAAGCTCATAAAAGACAACACCCCATGCTCTCTGAAAACACAGTAACTCACCACTCTACCTCAGCAAGCTTAGAGGATAAAGCATCCACAAGTAAGAACCTGATGTCCTTCAGAAACTCTATAGGCTAAGGACACAGATTACAGAGGCCTTTACCTGTACTCTGTACCTGGAACATTTCCCAAAAAACTCATCACAGGAGTCTCTACTCTAACTTTCGGACTGAACAATGTCTAAAAGGCAATTAGAATTATGGTTAATAATTTTGCAATATGGTCTCACAATTCTCCCTGGACCTATGAGCTTCAACAGTACTACGAAAAAAAACTTTTTTATACGTGGGCTTTGTTAACAGAGCACAAATAACACATCAAAAAGCATGACACCTCTAACTGACATTTTAATCTCTTATTTCCTAGAAGGCTTCCAAGACAGGGGTAGACTTCAGCTTCATGCAGTCACTCCTCTTGCACATTTCAATATTCAAGATGTTGACATACCTTTAACGACTTCCACTAAATTGTATATAGCAGCTTTTAATGCTGCAGGATCATAAAAAAAAGACCACACATAACATACTAGCAGAAGAGCCCCAACTATGGAATTATTGTTACAATACATTACCAAGATCACATATTTAAATTGAATTCAAGTAGAATACATTTTCACTAGTAGAGTTAAACAGAGTTGAGATTTCCAACACTTACCGCCAAATGGTATTATGCAGAGATTGTGTTTGCAGGCTAATTCCACAATTTTAACTACATCTTCATGGCAAACTAAAAAAGTCCAAACAGTTAAACAGGATTTGTGCTTAGTACTGTTTTATATGCTTAGTACTAAATATTGCAGTCTGAATAAGCAGCAGCTCTATTTCTAACACCAGCAAAGAAGACATTTCAAAGCATCAGGCACTAAATACAAGCTAGGCTTAGAAGTATCAGCCTAAAGTTTAGACCTGAAACAATTCTACACTTGAAGAACTGAGTACAAACCTTAGTCTCCTGCTCTGCTCATGGACTGACACCTTCTGCAAAATTCTGAGGGCTATCAAACTGTTAACAATTACTCTAGGTACCTTGGAGAACATACCAAACTTAAAGCTTTTATTGAAAATTGGCTGTCCAATTTATTTTAAGCAAAAGTAAGTCTCTTCTGAGCCCTGAATAACACATCTTTTTCTTCCTCACTGACATTCAGTTTTGAAAGTAGAGTTGCTGGTGAAATTTACTTTTTCAGAATGCTTTCTGTATCTGGTCAGAGAAGGAAGCAGAAATGCTTGTGCACAGGCAAGAAAAAAGGATCAAAAAAAACAACCTCAAATACAGTGCATACATGAGTTCGTGCAAACAGCAGAGAATGAGCAGGACTCAATAAATAGGTGTACGAACCCCTGCTACTTCGCTCTTGCCATACAGAGCGGCTTTCAACAAAGGTAGTCAATCATTTCATTTCAGTTGCTTTTGGAGCTGCACAAAATAAAGCTGCGGCAAGTGCAGTTCATAGTCACCAGTGCTGTCATATCAATACCTGTCCTCAAGTAATCAGCTGTATCTTATAGTGCCTCTTTTTAAGCTTCCCGTATGTGATTTTTTTTCCCCTAAATAAAGGAAGCAAAATTGAGCTAAGACTAAGCTCTTCTCAGAAATTTTAGGGTTTCTAACGCAGCACAGCTATCAAAGTATTAGAAGAGTTACAAACAGCAAGGAGTTGGATTCATGCTGAACAGATGTTGACAGGTACTTAGATCTAATGAGTTTTTTGTTAGCTACATGGAAAGTAATTCCCAGTGATGAGAAACACATCTCAAGTAGAAAAGTCACACAAGTGTGCAAACAGTCATATCAGTTTAAGTATTTGTATTCTACTAGATAGAAGCAAGCATATTTTCTGCTACATATTATCTACAACAGCTTTAGTTATAACTCTTTTTAAAGTGGGCCTAGCCTGTACTCAGCTTGCACTGCTCTTTCTTCAAGTCAATAATCCTTTGTGAAGTGTTCTGATAGGAGTTACAGGTGTTATGCTTTTTTTTGCTGAAGTACAGTGTGTCATAAAACAAAGCTCTTTAAATACAAACATTTCACTAACCCTCTATCATCATGTACTCCTTTAAAAAAGCCAACAAGGTTCAGACTGCCATTTAGACAACTATTCTTGGTGAACATATAAGTTCAAATTACACTGTGGTTACCCAAGTCATTAATTTAACTGTCAACAGAAACTTCAGCTATATTTAATAAATTTGATTTCCCCACAGAATGATAGGATTTCACAGGCACAACCTGCAATCCAGATGTTAAACAATCATGAATTACCATTCATGATAAAATTCCTCCAATTTCTGTAAAGACAAGCGAAGAACTTGCCCATGACAAGAAAGCACAGGAGTTCAGTAAACAACAGCCTCCCAGATCAGAAGGCAGAATATAACAGAGCTTACCAGGCCATACAACTATATCAGGAACTCGCTTAAACATTCCTTCCCTGAGTATAAATATCTCATGTAGGCAGTGACCTGAAACACAAACAATAAGTTAACAAGTTCAAACAGGGACGCATCAAAAGCAACACAATTATATAAATTAAGTTCTCTTACCATGAGCTCTGAATACCCTATCTTCTGCATCCTGTGAGTATGAGATTTTAGTGGCTCTAAGATCCTGAAGAAATTCTTCTTTTACAATGGATGGAGGTACATCATTAACATTTAAGGTTGCCTACAAGAAAATAAGTTCATTAAGAGTCCCTCAAGTCTGAGAAGAACTGAAAGTTTTTTACTACTGCACCTATTATTTTAAATACACTAAAATCGGGAGTTGCAGAAAAATCAGTTAAAGCATAGTGCAGTGTGCTCAAAGTTCTGTCATGAAAACCTTGCTGGCAAATTAACCAACATCACTTTCAACTCAAAGAGAAGAGTATGTTTACAATTTTGGTATAAAGCTATCAGAGAAGACTATGGGCTGCTAATAACACATGAGAGAGCTTTCTTACAAACATACCACCAAAACGCATTTTGTACTAAGTGTTCCACATAGTCAAAGAAACTTGGACCTTTTTTTGAACGAGCCTAACCTATGCTTCTTCACAACTACAAAGAAAACCGAATTCACTTCTCTCACCTTCTGAAGTTTCAGTTTCCTTCTACAAAAAAGAGGGGATATTCACCCATTCAAGTTTTTTTCTCCCGAAATGGAGTTTTCCCTACTTTTGCTCTATATAACCTCCAGAATAGTTGACACTTTTTGCCAAAAAGTGTATTTTATTTTAAGGTAAAAGCTTAGAGGATAGCACCAGTTACCAAGCTAACAGCAAGAAAAATAGACATTGCCTCCCATCTGCCACCACAGCAGCACTCTTCTGAATGGCTTAAGTCTCGAAGTCATGAGAGCTGAAGAAGGGAAGATTCAAACTTGAACAGGCAAGTTTTTGGGTAGTTCAGAGATTCACAGTGATGGAATTGGCCTACTAGCGTCCACCATACAAGAAACTATGGAAGATTACATAGAGATTAGGAATATTTACAGGGATAATTCAGACATAGTATCTACATGAGCTACATCTACGACTGATCGTTAACATTTATAGAGGTTCAAAATGCTAAGTGTTTGTTTCAGAGTTTTCATATGGGACACATGACCTAATAAAAATACAGTTTTAACAATTTGTCTTCAGGAAGAGGATATGCGCTGTTCTGGCTTGCTTTAAGGATAATATTATACTTGAAAAAAGGTGTCAGACATCCGAGAAAAAAGTTTTTCCCTCCAACTTAGTCACTTTGTCACCTACAAACAAGGAAATTGAAATTAAATGTTGTTCAGGTGAGAGGCACAACAATACTGATAGATCATGATTTTAGGGGGCAGTCAGGTCTTGGATTACTGCTCTAAACTCTTGCTATTCTGCTATCAATGCAGAATCACAGTGCTGTTTGCTAACCCAAAAACAGAGCTCTGACAAACTTGAGAAACATAAACAAGCAAATAGGTACCAAATACAGATCTTTAACCTACTTTTAAAAAAACCTTGCTAGCTTTGCTTATATTTTCTATTTTAAACTTCTGTTTCTTCATGGGTTTCCACAGACAAAACTATTTCATATTATTTCAAGTTGAACACCAAGTGCTGAAAGATCTTTGTTCACCAAGAGAAACATAAACTACTTAAAAGTTGTAACAATTAATTACTCGCATATGGTTTTAAGTATCCTGATTTTTATCTCCCTGTGACAAGTATTTTAATGTTAGTTTGTCTTCAAGATTCAAATGGTCATATTCATCTATAAAAACCTTCTGCACAAAGCCAAACTAAAATACACCTTTATTCTTATCGGACTGACATATTTTAAGATTTGTGCACTGAAAGGCTAGACAGGAAGCCTGTGTGAACTTGGTCTAAACTGCTGTCCAAGTCTGAAATAAAAAACATTATCAAGCCTTGATCACGACAGAAGCAGGTACCTTAACGGTTGTCAATTACAGCAGAAAAGTTGCATGCAACAGGAACCCTCCAGTCTCACACAACACAGACAGGAAGAGATGAGCTAGAAAGACAAATGGACCAAGAGATCCCTTCCCTACTACTGTTCCTGTAAACAAGTTTCGTTATGCTCTGATGACAGTAGAAGGTAAAAACACAATACAGCATGACAAATTAAAGTATAAACTAGGAACTATGACACACTGAAAATGAGGGACCTGAAGAAGTAGCTGAGAATAGCTATAAGAAGTCCAGATATATACTGGAGACTCCAGTGTCCTATTCTGTGTCAAGGCAGCCAGCCTGTTTCAGATTGCACCAAGAACATCAGAACCAGAGCAGCACGATGTTAACAGGAAAGCATTCAACGTTGCTGGAAGATCTCCTTAAGAACTGGTTTGCAAGACATGCTGTGGGATCAAGACACTAATCAAGAATCCTTCCTTATCCTCCACTTCTACTTCATTCTATATGTCCCTCACATGTAGAAAGAGAACAATAGCTCTCAAGACCTCTGGTCACAGCAAGTTAATGCATTTGCCAGTTAAGACCAAGACCAGTCCTGGTTAAGGAAAACATATCAAGATGATTTTTTTCAAATTACACTGGCAGATGAAAAAACATCTTTATTAACAAGAGAAGACTGAAGAAACATTCAGGTTTTTAGGCCCTATGAGACTACCTACTTCAGAGAAAATGCAATCTTGAACTCACTCAAGAAATGGGGAAAACTTACCCAAAGCAGGGTTGCTAAAGTCACTGTGCAAGCACAGCCTGCTTCCAACACTGTTTAAGCATCTATCTAGTCAGGAAACTGCAGCCTCAAAGGAATTAATGTTAGCAGGGAGTCAGCTCTCCCAACTAACACAAGTTAATCTTTTTAAAAAGCAAAATATGGGTGCTTCACAAAACCCAGAACATTCCAAATGTGGGTTTTTTTCTGAAAATATTCAGCTCAATTTTGAGTATTCTGGCAGCCACTTTTCAGCACCCAGACATTAAAAAAAATTTACTGTCAAATAAGAACTTTGATTTCATACATACACTGAAAACACAGCACAATTAACTTCACTGTATCTTCTGTCTTTGCTATCATGAACACCACTTAAGTTGTATAAACAATTCTCCCTAGGCTAACAGTTTCCACTACCTTGAAGAGCAACCTGCACACAAGGACAAAAACCTCTGAGTTGGAAACTTTCATTCCAATAAAAGTATCACCAGTTAAAGTGGAACCACAAATTATGCAAAGTCACTGAAGGTTTCACATAGTAGTTCTACATCAATTTTTCTCTTTTTTCCCAAAAAAAAACCCTGAGGTACCAATACACTATATTTAAATCAATTATGTGCAACATGACCTACAGGACAACAGCCGAATTACCTTTAACAGTGTGGTCTTGACTATCACCAAGACAAGTGTTCAAAGGAACTGGTTCAGCTATTTACTTACTCTAGAGGTAGTTTTGTGATCCAGACTGGCTCCAAAGGTTTTTTCCATCCATTCCTTAAAAGTTGGTAATACCATACCACCTAATCTGTACCTGAAAAGTCAATATTACACAGGGTCATTTTAGATTAAATGACTGCATGTCAGATACACTTCTTTTGATTCTGTGTATGCACAAAAGTTATTTCCAATTCTTTACCTACAAGCCTGCAGACCTTCTAACCATTCAGTTTTCATGTAACTGCACATTTCATTGTATTTAACTGTTCTGTACTCCATGCAAAATCAAATCACCATCATCTTAAGTATTACTTTTCTGCATGATCTTTGGGAATCATAGAATATGGCTTCTGAGATATCCCAAACTTCCTTCCACCCCCTCTTCACTTTTAAGAAAGGTCTCTTCCTTTCAGTAGTGTGGAAAGCAGTATCACAGTTTACATGCCAGTTATAGGTAGAGGACGTGTTTATGGACACACTACCATGTGAACAGCAGTCTCAGAGACCTTACGTATTGTCATGACAAGCAGTGTTAAAGGTTCTTCCCTCATAATCAGAACGCAGAATAAGAAGTAAAGGGCAGGGTTTGATCACTGTCCAGGACAGATCAGGAGTGCAGTTTGCCACACACTGGTACTAGGACCAGTTATATATAAAGTCTTCATCAGTGATCTGGATTCATTAGTGGAATATTCAACTAGATGAATATTAAGCAACTTTGTGGAGACAGATACTACACATATAGGAACTCGGGACTTTAAAAAACCTGAGCGAACAAATGAAGATGGAAAATAATAGATAGACAATTGCAAAGCCATGCACCCACCCCCCAAAAAAGGCATTACTTGCACATTCAGCAGAATGTAGTGGAGCTAGAGAGGGTTCAGAGAACAACTGTAGAGGCCAAGGGACCTCACAAGCAGAGACTAAAGGGCCCAAGATTCCTCAGCATCGACAGAGAGCAGATTATTTGAGGACACAACTCATAATCAATAAAGCAGCAGATAGGCCAAAGAACTACCACTCACCTAATCCTGCAACACAGTAAAGGATATTTGGTTTAAAACAAGTACATTACACAACAGCAACATGGAACTTGCTGCCATGGGATGCTGTAGAGGCAGACAGTTATCAGCAGACTTGAAAGCTGTTAGACAAATTTATGGACAACAGATCTATAAGTAGACACTAAAAGGATGCAGCATCTTCAACATCATTGCAGATGCCTATTCTCCTGTTTCCACTCCAAACACTCTCCTTTTGCCACTGTGACAAACTTTTCCATAGAAACTACAATGATGTGGCCCAACAGGGCATTTCTAATATTATCTAGCAGAGAGGCAGAATGCAGATGGGGAGAAAAAACTGCCATTCTCCTCCCATTTTAGAATAGTGACTGGTAGGTACTTATCAGTCAAACAGCAGCCTCAATGCTTCCTGCTGAAAAATAAAACAATCCAAGTCTAGCCCTTTACTGTTTTTATCTTCACACTGCCTGGATTTTCTGTGCAGCATAACCTATCCCACATAAACTAAAAACATCAGATGAAAGAATGAGTGACAAAGTGGTAAGAGTCAGGATCCTGGCAAAAGGAGAGAGATCACCAATATCTCCCTAAATATTATACAGCGAATTGAAGCGCCTAAGACAAGACTTTGCATAAGCTCCCTTCCAACCCAAACCATTCTATGATTCTAAGACTGAAGTGCTCAACATGCCAATTAGGTTTTCTCAGCTTTGACTCAAACTAGCTCAATGCTAGTTCACAAACTCAAAGACCAGGAAGGAAATTTTCTGAAGTACAGTACTTATTTCAGACTTATTTCTTTTCCCTATTCTTTTCATGTATTTTTTAAACCAGGGAAGACATAGCAAGACTGATTTCCAATGACAGAGAAAGTAAGATGTCAAGCGCCAGGCCTAAACCTCCTGAAAGAAAGATCCCCAAGTAGACTTAATTTTAATATCATTTCCTCAAAAAAAAAAACAAAACCCAAATTTCTCAGAAAAACAAGCTTGCTATGCAAAGTGCTAGTACGTACTAAATCAGAAGTGTTGCCACTAAAGAACATACAACTGATAAGCAATTTTTATTTTAAAAATAAAAACCTCAGGGGATAAAGTAGCTCTGTGCACAACAGTTAAACGCAAACTGGAAAGTTTAATAAAGCAACTTGATGTTTGAGATCCTCAAAACTGCACAGACCTGCTGCATGTCACTAAGGCTTTATAACATGGTGCACATTCTTAGTTTGAATCCATTCTCCAAGGGAAATTTAATGCACAGAGTATATCAAGTTAGAGAACACTCCATTAATTTATCTTTATCATACTTTTAATAAACCTTTCAATAAGCCACCCCACCTATTTCACGACACAGTAGGCTACTGTGCATAGAATCCAGTAAACCTGTTAAGTACAGAGCAACTAATGACCTATTCTATGAGATAAAGCAAGGTTTTTTGCCTTCTTTGGATAAACTGAACAGTGAATGTTTTAAACTCTTTTCAAAGAGTTACTAAATAAGATATTTCCTTTATATAAATTTTCAACTTGCCTTTTTCCTGTGAATTCTGCTTGACCCTTCTTGTTGAAGATGAATTTGGAGTCATTATAACCCCATCCATTCCATTTCAGAAGTTCTTGCCTTAAAGGGAGAAATATATGTAAGACTGTTAGCATATTGTAAGCCCAAAGGCAGTTACATGCCTTTGGAAACAGTTTTATCAGATAGCAGTTGAAGAACTCAAGTACATATCCAAAAGTGCACAGCTTAATAGAGCTAAAAGTAATTCTGCAGCCACAACCATTACTTTTTCAGATTGCATCCTAAGACTTGAAAGACAGGATGCTTTATAAAAACAACCACCAGCTTGGAGTCAATGCATATGGTATGGTGATAGTCTCAAATCCAGAAGAGTAATAGCTGAAAGATGCCTATGTTTAAATCTATACATAAATACTAACACACAAATAGGTAACGGATAAATATTTTCAGAATGAAAAAGGCATTTAGCATTATTATTCTCTGTCAAGAAAATAATTTTAAATTTCAGGGTTTTAATGTTACTACTAAAATCCCACTGCACTCTTAATAGCATTCACTTGATAAGGAACTCTCAGACATTTGATTGAAAATACATTATGGAAAGTAAAAAACACAGCCAAAACTAAAACCAACCCAACAAAAACAAACCTTAAGAACTGCAGGAATAACATACCAAATACAACCAGAATGTACCACCGTAAGATAGGAAACATTAAAAAACCCAAACCCACAACTGCCAAAATACAACCGCAAAACTGAAATGCCTTAAGGACAAACATACCAAAACAAGACGATCTCTTAATTAGGATGAAGTTTTGAGAAGTGTATCAATGTAAACCTATTTAAGACTTAGGGATATACAAAGAATAATTACACATTACTCTAACTTTGCTTAAAAAGTTTGCAAATTATTTACATTAGAAATTAAGTACCAACCTAAACCATGAGTATCAGTTATAAAAAGGCATACTGAAGAAGTCTGAAAGCAGATGATTTACCCCACTCTGCTATACAGAATGTAGATCTTATGCTTTGACTGTATAACATAACCAGGGGTGACCATTTCACAAAGACCTCAGGATTCAGAGAAAGCACTGCCTCAAGTCAGTTGTAACTCAAGCATTATACCCAAGATAACTGGGTGACGACTGATTACCAAAGGTCTTTTTTATAAAGATAATATTAACATAGATTGCTACTGTGTCATAAATATACTTGGCTTAATTAAAATTCATTTTCTTCAAGCTGCCTGCACACAAGGTTTTAATTAATCAAATGGAAAAAAAGACATGAACATGTATTTCATTACAATGTTTGAACTGGACATTTCAACAAGCCTCTGACAAATCTGGCACTTCAAGCAAGCTTTAGCAGTTTACTGGGTATTGAAAGAGCTCTATACAGCTTTGTGAAATAGCCAATCTATATTGTTCTTTCACACTGAGGAACTGATTCTAAAATTTCAGCCAAAATTAAACTGTTTGAGCAGACAATTGTCCAGATACAGAAGCCCCTCTATTTGGCTGCCTTCTCTCTCAATAGACTTGATCTTTACACATGTAGTGGCCACACAGAAAAGGACATAGGTCTACTCATGTTTGATAGCACAGGACTGCACTGTGCTATCGTACCAACATGAAAGATTATGAAAAAGTGTTCTTAATGGACATTATGCAGGCTTGCCTTTTTTTACATATTATATATATATATATTCTGTATATGTATATTTATCAATATTATATACATTTATAGGAAACTCCAGGAAGACGCTGAATTGTTCCAAGCTGAGAAAAAGCTGACACAGAATAGGCCAACTCAGAAGCATTTATTTTATTCTTTTATTCTTTTAAACTAAATGTCTCACCACTGCAGTCCTCCTCAAGGCAGGATTTCTCCCTCTGCTGACTAAATGTAGTATTTCTATACACCCAATCTCTGTAGTTTGTTACATCCTGTGAAGTCAGCACAGACATATTAAGAAGTGAAATTTGAGGAAGGCTCAAGCAGCTTCCCCCCCAGTTTAGACAGGTAAGTCCTCTCACAAGGCAGTGCTGAAATAAGTATGCCAACTATGACACATGAAACAGGCTAGAAAAACTAGCTACTAAGCTGGAGACAATCAGACAGACCAAGACACGGAAGACCAGGCGCCAAAGAACCTTTTGAGGTGAGGCAAAACTGATAAACCACAGCTTTGAAACTACCATTAGTCCTGATACTGGTACAGATAGATACTTCCCACAAAATCCAGGGAGATACTATTAATTAAAGTACTGAACAGAGACCCAGATAGAGGGTCTTTCTGCTAAGCTGACTGCTTTTCTAAAGGCCTGCTTTCCTACGTGGTGCTTCCATCAGGCATTAAAATACAGAACAGATGTTAAAGAGTTTTAACTCCAGAAAGTTACTCCAGTAGCTTCAGGTTGAGCTACTCCTGAATAAAATAAGTACACAAAGGTTTACACTGCCCAACAACATAGCTCTTGCTATTAGCATGATGAGAATAATCTAACAATTTGCACATTTTTAGAACAACAGCTGCTTCTAAAACATCTCCACTACCTTATAACACAGAGTCAGGAGATTCCCCCCCCGCCATGCATAACGGGCAGTATTATATGTTGTGACAGGTTGTTGTGGTTTAAGTCCAGCCAGCAACCCAGAACCATGGGTTGCTCACTCCCTCCCTCTCCTACCCCCACTCCCAGAGGGATGGGGAGGAGAATCGAAAGAATGTAACTCCCATGGGTTGAGATAAGAACAGTCCAGTAACTAAGGTATAACACAAACCACTGCTGCTACCACCAATAATAATAATGGTAAGGGAAATAACAAGGGAAGAGAATACAACTGCTCACCACCCGCTGACCGATACCCAGCCTAACCCAAGCAGTGATCTAACCCTTCCAGGTAACTGCCCCCAGTTTATATACTGGGCATGATGTGCTGTGGTATGGAATACCTCTTTGGCTAGTTTGGATCAGGTGTCCTAACTCTGCTTCCTCCCGGCTTCCTCTCCCCTCCCTGGCAGAGCATGAGACTCACAAAGTCCTTGGTTAGAATAAACATTACTGAGCAACAACCAAAAACATCGGTGTTATCAGCGCTGTTCCCAGGCTGAAAGTCAAAAACACAGCACTGCTCCAGCTACTAAGAAGGAGAAAAATGACTGCTACTGCTGAACCCAGGACACAGGTAAAGACCACCACAGAAAGTTAAGCATTTAACTTTTATATTCAAAACTACTGAGCAAGTCTGAGGTTTCTGTCTGGAGACAGTCATCTTACATTCATTCTTTCTTTTGTTCCACCACACCACAGTAACTACCAGTTTAAGCTGGTTATGGCAGTCCCTAGCACTTCATGCCTATGTGCTAAGACCAATTTAGCAGACATACTACACGCAGCTCCCTAAAAAAGAATCCTAATGTCCTAGTTTCAAGGATTTAAACCACAACACCTAAAAAGACCAGATTTTAAATGCAAGACTGATTAGTCAGCTCTGATTTGTAACTGACAGAGCCTGCAGGAAGACCAAACTGTTTAGGTCTTCCCACATACCATTTGAAAGGTATGCTCTTCATGAACAAGAGCTGGTAAACCTCAACTCAAGAAACAGAAGGTAAAAAGGAAAAAAGTATTTTTCTAATCTTTTTATCTTTTGGTCAATGAGAAAATGAAAATGAGCCAGCAGTGCGTGCTCGCAGCCCAGAAAGCCAACCGTATTCTAGGCTGCATCAAACGGAGCATGACCAGCAGGTTGAAGGAGGTGATCCTGCCCCTCTACTCTGCTCTCGTGAGACCTCACTTGGAGTATTGTGGGCAGTTCTGGTGTCCTCAACATAAAAAGCATATGGAACAAGTCCAGAGGAGGGCCACGAGGATGATCAGGGGACTGGAGCACCTCCCGTATGAAGACGATCTGAGAAAGTTGGGGCTGTTCAGTCTGGAGAAGAGAAGGCTGTGTGGAGACCTCATAGCAGCCTTCCAGTATCTGAAGGGGGCCTACAAGGATGCTGGGGAGGGACTCTTCATTAGGGACTGTAGTGATAGGACAAGGAGTAACGGGTTAAAACTTAAACAGGGGAAGTTTAGATTAGGATATAAGGAAGAAATTCTTTACTGTAAGGGTGTTGAGGCACTGGAATGGATTGCCCAAGGAAGTGGTAAATGCTCCATCCCTGGCAGTGTTCAAGGCCAGGCTGGACAGATCCTTGAGTGGCATGGTTTAGTGTGAGATGTCCCTGTCCATGGCAGGGGGGCTGGAACTAGATGATCTTAAGGTCCTTTCCAACCCTAACTTTTCTATGATTGTAATCATAATTGTTTTAATAGCATTCCTCCCTCTTCTTCATTTTCATACTGCCCTTTTGCAGCATTATTTATACAGTCACCATTCCTTAGAAAAAGCTTTTCAGACCCCAGCTTAAGTGCAGCACTCCCACTGCACCCTGTAATGCCCTAGTGCAGCAATTAGAGCTGCCTATCAGATCAGTATCCTGCATCACCTTTACCTTGGCTCTTTAAGAATGATCTTAAACTGTGACTGAGCAATCAATGTAGCCTTTTACATTTCCCAAGGTTTTCATTCCCCAAAATCTCAGTGTTAAACTCATATTCCAGAGGAGTAAAAAGGGCAGAAAGAATTGTGGAGCATCAGCAGACCTAAGTGCAAACTGAAAACTCCCTCCATGTACAAGTACTCAATCCTGGCTCTGAGACAAAGGGACTCAAACAACACACTGATGTGCAACTAATACATACCACCAATAAACCTACCTAAACTTTTTACAAATTATGTATCCTCTAACACACCTGAAACAAAATTTCCCTTGATAGTAATGGTTCCTATTCTCATTTTTAAATTCAATAATTGGATTGCTAAATGGTAAAACAACAACTCCAAATACCCTGTATAGTATCTGAGTAACATCTGAATATCTCAAAGCATGTTAAAGACTTTCATGCCCCCACCTGAAAAAAGAAATATGCTCAGTTTGGCTTAGTCAACCGACATGTTCCTGCTACACGCTCTATGTGTAGCAAAACATAATTTACACACTCATCTACTTTTCTTCCCAGCCTCCTTTCCAAGAACAT